ATAAATAGGATTAGAGGAGTATGTGTGTGTTTTATTTTTTATTGGCCAAAAGTCAGTTTGTCAAAAAATAATTTGACAAAAATAAGTTTAGCAAAATTTAATTGTTGTAACAAAATTTATACTTGAATATATTTTTTAAAAAGCTAGTTCTTTAAACTAATTTTTTTTGGATTATATATAATGAAATTTATTTTTAAATGCATAATTAAAAATATTAATTTTGATAATTTTTAATTTTTGTTAGACAAATGTAATATATTAGAAGTATTTAAAAATGTCATAAAAATTTTAAATAATATAAAATTTGATCTATTGAATAATAAAATTTAAAAATAATATAGAGTTTGATATATTTGACAAAAAATTATATACATAGTCAAATATACATGAATTAAAATTGAAAATTTACGTGATTAATTATTTAGTCTATAATGCGCAGTATGATTTTTAATTAAATTGCACACATTATTCATTTCTCCTTAAGAAACTACACGTGAAAGTGAGGAAGTGAGAATAGAGATGCATGCTAGGAATTGGCTTGCTCGTGTCTCAAGGTTTTTATGCTTTACCAAAAACATTTGAGCATGGTTTCGAGCTCGTAGGTCCTTTGAGATTGTCATTCTCCCAAGAAATACTTGCTAGGATTATCATAGCATCATCAATGTAGGAAAATTATATGTCATATTTTTTAAAAAAGTAAAACTATTTAATTAAAAATAACAACTCTATATCATTTAATTAAAATTATATTTTTTTAAATTACAGCATAGGAATTAAAAAATTGCTATAAATAATTTTTTTTAAAAAAAAATCACATTTTTTCATTGGGTGAAAGCACGTTAATGCTAGTTTGAGAAAGACTTTCACAATGTACCTTCATCTTATATTTTTTACCCAAATATCTTTTAACTACTTTTTTAGAGAGTTTCAAATGACTTTTCAAAAATTGAAAGTGGGTTATCCAAACCCACTCTATGTGCACCTGCTTAATTTACATGGGTGGCGATGGAAGCTTAGGCTTGTTTGGTTATCTTTTTAGAATCAATTTTAGGTTTAAAACTATAATTTTGAAAAATTTTATCTAAACATTTCAATTTTTTTAAATTCCATTTGGATTTTAAAACTCCATTTGGGATAAGTTAAAATTTATTTTATTTTAAAAAATCAATTCTAAATATTATTAGCTTGTCACTTTGAATGGTAGAATTATTGATTTAAAATTAATTCTAAAAAAATTATCTAAACATCTCAACTTTGTCATAACTAATTTCTGAAAATTTATTCAAATATCATCCCATTCTAATAATTAATTTGTTTTCATAATTAATATTTTTTAATTGAAATCCAAACACATCCTCAGTAGAGCCCAACAGCCCCAAACACCAATGGCTTTCGTGCTCGTTAATTCCCATATACCAACAGACCCATACATAGTATTTGGGTTTACATATCGCAATTAACAACTCGCCATCATACAGAATTTAGTCCGCAGAATTATGCTTAAGCTTCCACATAACTTAGTAGCATTTTCATCATCAACACAACATTTATATTTCAAAACACACTCCCAGCCCAGTCCACACAACAAACAAGCGTGCAGGATGAATTGAATCTTGCCTGCCATTTTTACTGTTTGGTTTTATATTTCTTTTACTAATCTTTGATCTTTTCCTAATTTAAGAATTTCAGCTCATGTTCTGGCCAAAAAAAGACAAGAGAATTTGAGCTCCGTGCTCTAATCAATCCTGCCCAGCTTTTATTACATGAATTAGAAATGTTTTGTTATCTTACTAATTAGTAATTACTATCAAATTGGCAAATTCTTACCATACAAAATTATACTATTTTTAACTAATACCTTTTTACTATAGTAATAAATAGAAATAAATTTAAAGCTTCCTACCTCGAAGATATTTTAAACATCAGTGGATTTGGGTTGAGAAATTGTCTTTGATGGCAAAGTTTTGAAGTCCCATTTTATCCTAAACATAGAATAAAGATATAGTAATTATTTTTTTTAATATTATCCTTCTTTAACTGCATCAAGTTATAATTCTGAAATTACATTTTATTGCAACAATTAATTTTCAGCAAAAGAAAAAATATAAAAGTCAAATATTTTTTATAAATTAAAATTCATAATAGTCATAGTATAACTGGAATCAAAAGAGGGGGTGTTGTTCATAGCTTGCAAGGGATTGAATTTGAATGTAAACCTCTAGGACGTACCCCATTCCGTGCTAAAACTTGAGGGGATATTTTGTGATATTTTGAAAAGATGGGCAGTCATTGATTGGTGCATATGATTTTGAAAATGATGTGTCACCAATGACATGCACTTCATCAAATTAAAACAGGCCCCGCCCTCGTTGGACTCGGACTGCAACAAAACCCTCCCCTTCCTCCATTTTCCCCCACAACAAGATGAGAGAAATCCTCCACATCCAGGGCGGCCAGTGCGGCAACCAGATCGGTGCCAAGTTCTGGGAGGTCATCTGCGACGAGCACGGCATTGACCCCACCGGCAAGTACGACGGCGATTCCGACCTCCAGCTCGAGCGCATCAATGTCTACTACAACGAGGCCAGCGGTGGCAGGTTCGTCCCGCGCGCCGTCCTCATGGATCTCGAGCCTGGTACCATGGACTCCGTTAGATCCGGTCCCTTCGGTCAGATCTTCCGCCCTGATAACTTCGTCTTCGGCCAGTCCGGTGCCGGTAACAACTGGGCCAAGGGCCACTACACCGAGGGAGCCGAGCTCATAGATTCCGTTCTGGATGTTGTGAGGAAGGAGGCCGAGAATTGTGATTGCTTGCAGGGTAATCACCCTGCTTCCTGTCTCCCTTAATGTTTGTTTGCCTTTCCTTTTTCTTATCAATCGCTTATCGTTGAGAAACTGCTCGCTTTCGTTCATTATTATCTTGTCACTGCCTGATTTGTCCATTTGTTCTGTCTTGTTCTCGTTCTTTACATTTTCTTTCCATCTTAATATTTCGTTCCAAACAAAGGCTTGATATAGCGCATGATTGCTTGGTACTGGTATATGTTCCTGATACATTATGCATGTTGACTTGATTTGCGATTCTCATGTTATATTGTTGCTTTCATGATCTCCAATAGTGATTCATGAAAAGGCAATGTATCCGATAATGCTGCATTTAATGTTCGCTACGCTTGAGTTTTTCTTTGGATTCTGCACATTCGTTGTTTGTACTGCTAGTCTTGTTTCGTATCATTGTTAATTTTGCAGTTTAGGTTCATCATAATTTTCATTTCTGTCGAGAAATTTCACAAACCTGAATTTCTCCAAGCTAATGCCGGTTAAATCTTATATCTAAACAGGATTTCAAGTCTGCCACTCTTTGGGTGGAGGCACTGGCTCTGGAATGGGAACACTTCTCATTTCAAAGATCCGGGAAGAGTATCCAGACCGTATGATGTTGACATTTTCTGTCTTTCCTTCTCCGAAGGTATCTGATACAGTTGTAGAGCCATACAATGCTACACTCTCTGTGCATCAGCTTGTTGAAAATGCCGATGAATGCATGGTCTTGGACAATGAGGCTCTGTATGACATCTGCTTCCGAACTCTGAAACTTGCTACGCCAACTTGTAAGTCTTTCCGCTTAAGTGGAGTTGAGTCGATTTGGTGCTGCATACTGCCATTTTTTTATCATCACTAATGGTGCTGATATTGTAGTTTGTTTCCTTTTGAGTGATGGCTAATATTTAACTACAATTGATATAGATATAGTGGCGGGGTTTACCTTTTCGACCTTCCAGTTAATGAGACAAATAAATATCATTATGTTTGTTGTCAGTTTCAAGGGTGTCTAGGTCATGTGTGTCTCTTATGGCCGGTGGTTAAGGTTGTTGTCTTTTGTAATCATTGGGTTATTTTTTGCATCAATGGATGAACGCTCACAATCTTATCCTTTTTCTTTTTTCTTTTGATAACCAATCTTATCCTTTTTCTTCTTTTGGAATTGTTTTATTACAGTTGGTGACCTCAACCACCTCATTTCTGCTACCATGAGTGGGGTTACTTGTTGTCTACGTTTCCCTGGACAGCTGAACTCTGATCTTAGAAAGCTTGCCGTTAATCTTATCCCATTCCCGCGTCTCCATTTCTTTATGGTTGGGTTTGCACCCTTGACATCGAGAGGATCGCAGCAGTATCGTGCCTTGACCGTTCCTGAATTGACTCAGCAGATGTGGGATGCCAAGAACATGATGTGTGCTGCAGATCCACGCCATGGTCGCTATTTGACTGCTTCAGCAATGTTCCGTGGTAAGATGAGCACAAAGGAGGTGGATGAACAGATGATTAACGTACAGAACAAGAATTCTTCTTACTTTGTTGAGTGGATTCCTCATAATGTAAAGTCTAGCGTTTGTGATATCCCGCCCAAGGGTCTAAAGATGGCATCCACTTTCATCGGAAATTCAACTTCAATTCAGGAAATGTTCAGGAGAGTTAGCGAGCAGTTCACGGCAATGTTCAGGCGCAAGGCTTTCTTGCACTGGTACACTGGCGAGGGAATGGACGAAATGGAGTTCACCGAGGCTGAGAGTAACATGAATGATCTGGTGGCTGAGTATCAGCAATACCAGGATGCTACTGCTGACGAGGAAGAGTATGAAGAGGAAGAAGAGGAGATAGATGCTTAAATGTCCGTTTCCATTTCTCAAAATTCTTGAAATTTTAATATGGTTGGCTTTGAACGTGTGAAGTCCATATTTTCGAGCAGTCAAATTAGATTGACTTGTTAATTCGTTTGTTGTTGTATGGATTATGGGTCAATACCTAAGCTGTTTTTTTTTTTTTTTGGGTTGACAAGGTTTTGAGATAACTATTGGATATTGGATTCTACCAGGCAAATATATATGTATATCGAAGTTGTGAACTAATCTGTCTTAACATTCATCTTTCTATCCTCGTTGGCAACTATTGCACTGTCAATAACAGTAAATAAATCATAGTTGTCAACATGCAAAATATTATGAAAAAGAATAACATTAATTGCCAAAGCACTGTAATGCCTGTCATAGCATGCTCTTTTGCCCGAAAGAAAGCCATATAACTAATATTTTACCCTTTTGATCGATAAATTATATGCCAGAACATATTGCCATAATGTAACTAAGATAAGAGACAGGCTCAAACCACCCCCGAACTTCCGAAGTGAAAAGACTATTTATGAATCTCATTTGTCTAGGATTTTAACTATGCCAACGTAAAACCAGTACAAAATATATCATGATATTTAGTCGCGTCATATGCCAGCTACACCCTCCACAAAGGGTGGTTCACTCAACTCATCCTCTGGCTAAAATAAATAGTTAGTCCCGAGTGCTGTCTTTGATCCATTCAAGGTATTTGAGATTGCCCCCAGTGATCGGTAAGGATATCACTTCAGGTGTCCTGATGAAATGACACAAGGAAAAGGTGAGATGACAAAATATTAGAATGCATAACTATTTTCTAAGTTTGCCCCAGCATGGATATCACGCCAAAGTTCTAAGAGTCTTGGCAAATTCAAAACTTTGACTTAATTGCAGTTTTCTTCCCTTTAGTTTCCAGAAAGTCAAATGTTGGTGCCCATTTTTAATTCTCCCTCCCGGTTTTCAACTTGATACAAGACCCTTAGAAACACGCTACTGATCAGGTAGAAGTGAGTAAATATATATTGCTGATATTAGCGAGGGGTCAATACTTCCCTACAATATTCCACATGACCCAGAGGCATTAGCCACCTTAGCACCATACCGCAACGAATACTGTCTGAGAATGGCAAAATAGTAAATATAGAAAAGACTCAAGAAAGTTAGTGATCCATAGAAACATTTTCAATTCTGCGCCATTAAGTTTGCCTAATTTATGAATAGTCCTGTTATGTTAGATGTAGTTCTGAACCACAAAAATCAATTCTTAAAAGATTGACCGAAAGACAATGGCCTTAGTCCCAAATCTATGCGGCAGCAGACCTCAACTGAACCGCATAGGTGACACAGACACATGCTGTCACAAACCTTGCTGTCCTATCAAATTTGTCATTTTGTTGGCATTGCCTATGTTTTGAAATGCCACGATGATGAGGGACTTAGGGGAGAAGCATCCTTTCTCGTGCATCAAAGGGTGTGACTGATCAATCAACTAATAATGAGGATTTGATGATCCACATCAAAAGGTCACTTTTGCATAATAAGTAGCATGAGTCTCTATTAGCAAGAAGTTGACTGATCAAAGTGCACAGTCGACTTCTCAAGGAACTCATCATATTCCATTAGCTGTCAACAATCCATCAATGATCCAACTACAAGCCAACTTAGACCACATCCTCAGACCTTGAAGTTCAAGGAACGACCCTTCCTCTTGAATCCCTCCACGTTATAATATTTCCAGACACAAGCAATCCTAGAAAAATGATGCATATGATAGGAACTCAAGATTTGTGACATATACAGACTCATTGTGTTGCCTCCCTTGATCTATATGCAGCGATTTGGATTTGGAGATTTGAACTACAATATTCAACACAGTATAGCTATTAATATATTAGGAAAACCAAGAGAGGATAATCAAAAATGTTTCTGTTGATTGTTGATTAACAAATTTTGCTGGTTCTCACATGTAGCTTGGCAAAGTTTCACATGGGCAGCGTAACTAGCAACATGACGCTGAGAAGGCAACTCCCTATTGGGCCATGTGGAGGGGCATGGATAGACCCAACTTTCCTCTTTTATGGAATAATTTAGTGCCATGATGGCAAAGAGGGAAACCTTGTAAAACAGGAAGAAACAGTAGATTTGAGCTTTTAAGTTACTACATTCAGGTGTACCAACTACCATTTAAGTCCTTCCATCTTAAAGATTCCTTTTAGTATCTTATAATACAAATTTACACTTATCTCATGTCAACTAGAAGCATCGGCCTTACTCATATTCATGATTTTCTTTGATGTGCTCTGTCAGTGCTTCCAAAAGGGACTGCCTAGTCTTGATTATGAGAAGTTCTTCAGAATCAGTTTGGATCTGTCATTTTTCAATATAGTGACATAGTCAATCTACATTCAACAGCATATTTTCAATAAATTTCTGCAAGCTATTCAGACTACTTATCCACGTGAACATTAAGCAAACAAGAAAATAAGACGAGCTTGTAATGTTAGGATGATAAAGTTCTAGAGAAGTTTCTACCAATATCAGGATTTTTGGTCAGTTATTGGAAATGTAGTTCATACCTCTCCCTTCCACTGATATACAGATTCAATACCTGCATAAGACAATACACATGGTTTATAAAAGTCAAATAAGTGAAATTCATACTTGCAGCTGCTTAGTCAGCACAGCTGACAATGACATATAGCACTCTTAATTAGCAAACACAAAATTTTAGATCGAATCCAATTCAGTCCCATTGAGTCACAGTTCTACCAGTACCAAGTCAGGGATTCTTGGCTTGATATCTTGACCATGCAAAGCCCAGACATGAAACAAATAAGTAAAAGCTCAAAATGGAAAAAAAGATATCAACACATACCAACTCATTCAATTTGTAATTACTGAAACGGCTATATCTATAAAAATGTGCACAAGTAGATCTCAAAATGCATCATCTATGGACGTTAAGCACCAAACCAGCAGCTTTTCAAAAAGGAAGGGAGTAGCCAAGGCAATGTCTTTAAACTGGATGGATCATTAAATCGGTCAAAGTATTAGTTTGAGTTTCACTGATTTGACTACAGTAAAAAATTGACATTAATTAAATTAATATGTTTTCAATTTCATATATTAAGATATTATATAGAAAATAAAAATCCATAACTAATAAATTTCTTAATATTCAAACCTAAATAAATTAATATTCATGCATGGTCGCACATTGAACTCAAAATAGGCAACTAATAATCCACCATCAAGGCATTATAATGTAACAACAACAACAAGCCTTATCCCAATAGGTGGCATTTATTATGTAAATTCATAATTATTAATAATTGTGCACAAGAATAATACTCCTATAATATTAGAAATTTAGAATATAGAAGGAAAAAATTTATCCCAAAAGCATGCCATTTTGCACCAATAACCAAAAAAAAAAAAAAAAAAGAGTGTAAACCGGTTGAACTAATAACCCTGTTGGTTCTAGAGTTTGGACTGCTTTTGGCACTGGTTCACTGGTTTTCTAGCCGGTTGGTTTGGTCCAATTATGATAACCATGAGTCAAACACATAGTTTGTATAAGGTTCTTTGTTTTGAGGAAACTATTTCAAAAGATAAAACGAGTTTCAGTCTTGATGATTCAAGCGAATATGTTCAGGACATACAAATAAGTCCATATCGAGAGAAATTATCTGATGAGTTAACAATTCTAATATACCTGGAACCCTATTAACACAAGCTGCAAGTTTTTCTTTGACAATGCTTTCAGCCAACTTTTTTCCTGCAGAATCAAGAATCAAGTGAATATACAAAAACTCGTTAAAAAGGGCTGAGCCGGCCCCATTATCCCTTGCTTCATTGTACTTCCAGACGCAAGTAGGATCCTTGACTTTAGAACAATGACTATTTCAGTTTTGTTTCACTAATATGCTCGCGTAAAGATATAAAAGCACAAACATATGAACTCCGAATATGGTCGACCCTGAAAATCAATTCTTGATGTAAATCTTAAGCTCCAAACTAAGCATTTGAAACAAGAAAATGATCAACGGAATCAGAGTAAACAGCTTGATCCCGACGAGACTCATTCATAATCCAATTCCGCCGTACCCCAGTAAAAATGAGGGAAAGAAAAAAAGTCGAAAAAGAGAACTGACGTTCTGCATAAAAAAGACTCGTACCTGCTTGTTCATTAGGAACGGTAACATAAACAACGATGCTTGGAACAGTGGCGCTACTGCCTTCCATTCCGACAGAGTGAATAGTCCTCGCAGGAGATAGGCCACTAAATTTGGACCTGAAACGGTGAGAAATGATAGTGAGAAATCAAACTAAGCAAAGATGGAAAGAATTGAAAGGTAAAAGAGGAAGAAGCAACCGTGAGTTGGCGAGAGAGGAGTAGAAGGAAGAGGAGGCGAAGGCGAAGATGCAGACGGCCCCTACGATCGGCAAACGACGTCGTAGCGTAGAGGGAGAAGGGAGAGGGAAAGATGGCTTAGAGCGGATTGAGGAAGGCATTGGCGTCAAGGTTAGTTTAGGTTCGCTGCCCCTTTTCCCTTCATGTGCTAAAAATATCATTGATTAATTTATGACAAAAATTAGAAAAATTAATTATTAAATTTTTTATAGTTTTGAGGGTTAGTCACTCAGCTTTTTTTTTTTTTAATCATCACTCACCCCTCTGTCACTAAACTTACTGTGTAACTCACTTTCTATAATTTTGATTATTTAACACTAGTATCTAAATTTCAAAAAATAATTTTAGTACTTATAATGGAAAAGAGACGACATCAAATCTTCATATTAATATAAAGTCTTGGAAAGATCAGCTTATTCCATAAAGTAACTATTTACCCATTGAGGAATGGTCTCACATTGGCATTCTTATCCTAATTAAATTACAATTTATTTTAATTTATATTATGAATTATAAATTGAACGAAGCAGGGTTTATAAATATAAGAGGTTAACATGTGTGATTATATTTTTTGTCATTTCACTGTCCATGAAATTTTACAATTTCATTTTTAATTTTTTAAAAAATTATTTTTTTGGTAGAAAATGAATTTAATTGATCGTAATCATATCTTAAAAACAAAAACTAAAAAAAAAAGAAAAGAAAAGAAAAGAAAGAAGAAGAAAGAAACACTGAATTGAAGCTGATTATCTGGCACCACATTGATATGAATGAAAGCGTTATGTATCATGCATGATCCTTTAATTCATAATGCAGATTCTAGTAAGATGCTTCAATTAGTATTTTGTTTAAAGAGATATATTTTCTATACGATTTTCAAATTGTTAAGTGCTCGATCTTCAATAATATATCTAATTTTAAGGGAAAATAACAATCAATGATTCTTATATAGAATTTATATCAATCAAGAATTAATTGTTATCAAAATTCAAATGAAAATTAAACTCAAATAAATTATTGTTAATTTAGAATGAATTGTTATTAAAACTTGAATGAATACTTATTGATAAAATGTTAACTGGAATCAACAAGTATCTATTTGATTTTTGACAACAATTAATTTATGACTGATATAAATTTTATGTAGAGGTTTTTGATTGCTATTTTCCTTAATTTTAAACCTTTGGTATAAATTTGAAGTTATGAAGGCATCGTATGGATTACTAAGAATCCTATTGAAAAGCACGTCCACACAAAGCTATAGTTTTTAATTGTCTAGGTAATTTTGATCGAACAAAGTTATAGTTTTTAATTGTCAAGTCATCTCGATCTTGTTCATTTGGTTTCCTCCATTTATATACGTCAATTGAACAAATAAATGGAGAAGTTGAATGCTTTAACTTAATCAATCAAATAATGAAGATTCCATAACTAGTGGTTAGCCGGACAAGCCAAGCAAGGTTGGCCAGCTATAAATCTATACTCCATGAACAAAAGATGACCATTTCAGTTTCCTTGGGCGGCAAAGATGTCATAGGTTCACAAATCCTACATCCCCAGTGCCTATAAAGAGGCTACATTATTGCCACCATGCACTTGCATGCATCTCAGTGAGATCTAATTACACACTTCCACAATATTCATATCACAACATTGCCGAATTAAATCTCCTTTCTGTTCCTTTCTTGTTGGTCATCAAATGGCTAATCCACCTTCATTGATATTGTTGGGCCTCTTGGCTCTCTCATTCTCGCTCGTTTTAGCAGTTGATCAAAGTACTCTTCAAGATTTCTGTGTGGCTGATCCAAATGGCCAAGGTAAGCATGTTTGTGTGTGTGTAATTACATGTATATTATCTTATATATGTGAACAAGGCTCTAATTCGATTAATTAATGAGATTCTAACCGGAAACATGTCCCTCAATTGCAGTCTTGGTGAATGGTCTGGTGTGCAAGGACCCAAAACTAGTTGAAGCAGAGGACTTCTTCTTCAGCGGGCTTCACATGGCAGGCAACACATCAAACCAAGTAGGGTCTAAGGTGAGTCCAGTTTTTGCAGCTCAGGTTCCAGGATTGAACACTCTGGGCATCTCCTTAGCTCGCATCGACATCGCTCCATGGGGCATCAACCCTCCTCACTTACACCCTCGAGCTACCGAGATCCTGACTGTTCTTGAGGGACAAATTGAAGTTGGATTTGTGACATCAAACCCAGAAAATCGCTTCATCAGAAAACTGTTGCAGAAGAGTGATGTGTTTGTGTTCCCAATAGGGCTCATCCACTACCAGAAAAACGTTGGTGGTGGTTATGCTGTGGCCATTGCAGCACTCAGCAGCCAGAACCCAGGAGCTATAACCATTGCTAGTGCTGTGTTTGGGTCTAACCCAAACATACCCAGCAAAGTTCTTGCCAGAGCTTTCCAATTGGAAGACAATGTTGTTAGTTACCTGCAGCATAAGTTCTAGAACAAGTGGTTTTTTTTTTTTTTAAAAATGTGTTTGAGTTTCATGGTACATGTTTGAGTGGTCTTGAATATTGAGGTATTCCATTGCATTTGTTTCAACGTATTATTAAAATATAATGCTTGTACTGATAATTTGGTTTTATGTTCCGTATATACGTTCATTTATACGTTGATGTACGTTTTATATTATTAATGTGTTAGTGATGTGCAATGAAAGGAAATGTTGAGTCATCATAATTATTTTTATGTATGTTTATTTTGTGCTAGTACATTTTTCTTGCTTCTCTTAGCTCCTCCAAATTCACAACTTCATTTTTCCACTTCTAAAAATTCATGTCCATCGAATATCCTTTAATTGATTGCAATGTATATCTATATATATATATATATATATTCTAATAAAAAAATTAAAAGCCACTAAATTGGAATTAACCAATCATGTTTGGTAACGTTGACATGAAACATATGCGTAGTGTCCTTTAATTCATATGGGGCAAGAGGCAATTGAAACAAGACACGAAAAACACTGGTACATTTCTTGTATAGTTTGGTGAAAGATAATGGATACATACATACATACATATATATATATACATACACGCACACAGAGAGAGAGGGAGAGAGACAGAGTCGAACAGCTCAAAAAGTAAAAAAAGAGGAAGTTAATGTATGATTTGAAGCAATTTGGATACAATTAGTATAGGCAAACGGTATATTTATATAGTGTATTTATATAGAGTTCAATTAGTAAACGAATTGACTCCGATCCTTAACAGATTTTTCAATATATTTATTGATTTCCTGCATCATATATGAGATTTAACCAATCAAAAACCCGGGTGTTGCAAGGAATTAATTATAAAATAATAATATAACCTTTTCAAACATGTGTCAAGCATAATAAATAGGTTTAATAAAAAAAATAGAATTGGGAAAATAACAATTAAGACCTCTTTGAGGTTTATATCAATCAAGCGTTATTAAAACTTAAATGAATACTTGTTCATTAAATTCAAATCAATAAATACTCATTCAAATTTTTATAATAATTGACCCTTAATTGATATAAATTGCATACAAAGGTCTTTAATTATTATTTTTTCTAAAATTATGCTAGCTACAGAATTTGTATTGAATACAGCATCATCAGCATAAGACAAAAAAAAATTAATTAATTGCCTATTAGGATCAAACATTGCAAATTTTTGTAAGTTTCTCAATACACAACATTTGTTGAAGAGTGGCTTATTGTCATAATTGTCATTCAAAATTTTTAGCACATCTATATTGTTAAGAGGAAATGGTATTAAGGGCCCTAAAAATAAATTTTATTATAATTTGAACATAAATAAATTTAATATTGCTCTGCAGGCCTTGGGGTCCTTATTACAATATTTTTTTCATACCAAAAATACAATTTTGCCCTTTATTTGATTTGAATTCAAAACTTGCTCAAACCCTTGAAATGACAGAATAGATCATGCACGATACAATATTTACTATACACAAGATGATATTCATACATGCTCAATAGAAAGTCTATGCATTTTGAGTATTTCACTAGTCTAGGTTCTAACAAAAATGACAAGTTAGGCAGATCATGTATGACACAACATTCATTATGCATAAAACGATGTCCACGCATGCTCAATAAAAATTCTATATATTTCGAGTATTTCACTAGCCTAGGCTCAACAAAATGACAAGTTAGGCAGATCATGCACGACACAACATTCACTATGTATAAGATGATGTCTACGTATATTCAATAGAAAGTCTATGCATTTTTAGTATTTCATTAGCTAAGGCTTAATAGAAATGACAAGTTAGATAGACCATGCACGACAAAATATTTACTATGGATAAGACGATATCCACACATGCTCAACATAAAGTCTATACATTTTTAATATTAAGAAGAAAAATTACGTCAGAGATGAAGAATTTCATATTAGTATTGACTTATGTACTAAAACAAGTATCCATATAAAATTTGACATGATGTTTCAAGTATGATATATTAAAAAAAGTAGCCACTATATTTAAAATATCTAACAGTTACTTTTCTATATACAAACAAAAAATATCCGTGATTCTCAATTACCCAAAAAATAGTACTTGAGAATGCTTCTATATACATAATTATAGTTGCCTATATACACCAAAAAGGAATAATGTGACTACTTCTCATGTTGGGTTCAGATTCTTGCATGTCTGGCAATTATGTCCAGCCTCCCTCCATCTTAAACAATGATAAATCTTTTATTTTAATCTGTAATGAACAAACTAATTTAGGTAAATGTTTACATACAAAAGCTTAACTTTTATTTTACACAACTCAAAGTTTATTTTTGTACAACAGATACCTTAAAGCCTTTGATAACTAATTTTTTTCATATTGGGAGTCATATTTTATTCAATTTACATGTCAAAGTCCAATATGAATAAACCAACCATCACTATTGTACAGCAATTAATCCACTCTAAAACTTCATAACTAACTTAATGCTTCAGCAATCTTTAGCTTATATCAATAGGTTAGGCTTAATAAAATGTATAAGTAGGCAAACAATGTATAACGCAATATTCATTATGCACAACATAAGATTTATATATTCTCAATTGAAAGTCCATACAATTCTACAGTATTAGTAGGCTAGGCTTAATAAAATATTTAAGTTAGGCAAATAATGCACAACACAATATTCACTATACAAAACACAAGGTTCATATATTCTCACTTGAAAGTCATGTGATTCCAATTTATTATTAGGCTAGGCTTAATAAAATGCATAATTTAATGTTCAACAACAATAACTTAGAGTTTATTTTTGCACAATAAATACTCTAACATTTCTGATAACAAATTTTCTTCATATCGAATAATATTTTATTCAGTTCTCATGTAAAATTTCAATATGAACAAGTCAACCATTATTATTGTACAATAACTAATCTACTCTAAAACTTTTACGGCCAAAATGATTCAATAACCTTTAGCTCATATCAGCAATAAAATCATAAATAAAATTCTAATTTCAACAATATCACAATGTAGTTTGTACAACAAAACGTACATCTCATATGTATCCTACTACCTCATATAAAACTCCCACTAAATACTTCCATTAAATGGAAGTACTACATATTAAATGAGTGAAGATCACCTCTGTTGCTACTTTAGCAGTAACTAACATGTAGCAATGACAAACCTTTTGCAAGCCAGAATGTGAGAAACTTTCAAATAACAACAACAACAACAATAACAACAACAATAACTCAACTCAACTCACCAAATAATAATAACTTGTGTAAGCCAGAACATGAGAAACCTTTAAATCATTAGCTGAACTCTCAGCTTAACAAACATTTAGCTTATGCAAGTCAGAAGATGAGAAAACTTCAAAATCTCCAGTTGAGATCTTGAAATCATCAAAAGCACTATTTAAGATGGAGGGATTTTGAAATCTATGCACCTCAAAATTACTCCTAGCCATTAGAGCTCACAAACCTTTGCATCCTTCAGCTGAATACCAATTCCTGTGTTTGTCATCCTTTTTCTTCATTCAATTTCATTTATTTTCATTAAGGGCAAAATTATATTTTTGGTGCGAAAAAATATTGTAATAAAAGTCTTAAGGCCTGCAAAGCAATATGAAATTTGTTTAGACTCAAATTATAATAAAATATATTTTTAGATCCTTTGATGCCATCTCCCCCATTGTTGACTAGTGCTTTGAGATATAGATTGGGCCAATCAATTTAATTGTTTAGACTGAGAGCCAATCACATGTTTAGTTTGATTGACATGAGAAAAATGGGGAGGTGATAAACAACTTTGGCTGGAGAGTTGGCCCCATATTTTCAACTTTTATTTTTTTTATAAAAATTAATTCACATATTTCAAGTTATGATTTATGTATATTTATATTTAATAGGTCTTAACAAATAAAAATATGAAACAAATACATATTAAATATGCACGCTCGCGCGCACATGCGCGTGCGTGTGTATATATATATATATATTCTAAAATTATAAATTATAAAATAAGTAAATATTTTTTTCAATAAATTAAGACGAAGAAGTATTGATAGATATTATTTTACTATATATATATATATATATATTACTTTTCCTTGAATTTAGTAATCATTTTTATGATTATAGATAATTATTTTTATTTTATTTAAGCATATATCATTTAAAATACATTAATTTATTAATGATTGATATGACTAATAAAATTAGACTACAATCCTAACGTTGAACCTTGAACTTATGTCTCGACCTGTTCAATGGCTAGGCTAATTTTCTTAACATTGTCCTTAATTAACTATGAGTGAACATAAGTTTGGGAAGATATACAACCTAATATATGATATGGAAATGTCTTGACTTTTATTTATTATCATTGCAAAGGAGATGGTAACGAGGAATTATCTTCTTTGCATATGTGTACGGAAGCTTATGTTATTGTCTAATGGAGATTTATTATTCATTCAATGAGTAACAACCTCTTGAGTTTTGACCATCATCTAAACCATTCAATGTATTCAATTATACTCTTATCAAGATGTGAGACATGCAAGCGCGTGCAATTACACAATTTTAAAGCTTGATCAATATTTTTCAATAGCATAAGTGGTGCCTATATTCCCAAGGTCATTATCATCAATGTGGACACCGGTAATGCACAATTAATCGAGACATGCATCCTTTTTGTCTTGCATTTGTTTTAATCTTGTTCATTTCATCGTATATAAACTTGAACAAGAAAGAGATTAAAAAAAGCTGAATGTTTCAACTTGATAAATGCATCTCAAGTAATTAAGATTCTATATAGTTAGTGATTAGCCGGCCAAGCTAGCCGGTAATGTTGGCCGGCTGTAGTCGAGTTGTGAGTGCATGAGGACCAAATTAGGATGACCGTTTCAGTTCGTTTTGGGCGGCATATAAGTCCCTATGGTTTCACAATTCTTAATTACATAATAACCTTCAAGTCCTATATAAAGAGGGGCTACACACACACATATATATCAGCATATAACTAAGATCTTAATACACACATATCGATATTTTAATTATCACTAGCAAGTTATATCAACTAGCTTATTTTTGTTCCTGTTCTCACCACTCATCATCAGTCAAATGGCTTACCATCTTTCATTAAGATTGCCGGGACTCTTGGCTCTCACATTCTCCCTTGTCTTAGCCGTTACTGATATTTGATGCAACATGAGTTCTTGCAGAAGATATATTTGCTGAATGAATTTCTTCATGAACAGATGTGTAAGGAAGGGAAGGTCTAGGAGATACAATCAGTTGTGGACTTGGAGAAGAGTGTTCTGGTGAACTTAATGAGGGTGTATTAGATTCAATAGCAGATTCATCAGGACATAAATTCGGCAATGAGGAAAGTGCTTGCTTAAAGAAAACTCGAGGATGGACTTCTTCTGCAAGTACACTCTTCTTGTGGATGAAACCTGTAGAAAAAGGGAATTCAAACTCATTAAAAACCACAGGTCTTGACATGTAAATTCTACTCGTGGGACTTAAGCACTTACAGCCCTTATAAGAGTTGTCATAGCCAAGAAAAGCATACTTCATGTCCCTGAACTGAAGTTTGTGTTGATTATATGGCCTTAAGCAAGGATAGCAAGCTAAACCAAAAACTTTTAAATCTTTATAATCTAGATGTCTTCCATGTAGGCGAAAAAATAGAGTTATCCCACCTAACACACTTGAAGGTAACTGATTAATTAAGTAAGTAGCTATGTGAAAAGCTTTCCACCAATAAAAAAAGTGGCATTTTAGCTTGAGCCAACAATGTCAAACCCAACTCAACAATGTGTCTAAGTCTTCTTTCAGCTCTACCATTTTATGGTGATGTACGAGGACATGAGTGTCTAAAGAGAATTCCAGATTACTTCAAAGCATTAGAAAATTAAAGCTTCTATATACTCCAATCACTTTGAACGACTATAATTTGACTATCAAATTGTTTCTCAACAAATTTTTTAAACTGTAGAAACATAGGAAGAGCCTCATTTTTTGTCTTTAAAGGATAAATCCAAGAGTATCTACTATAATCATCAAGAAACAAAATATAGTATTGAAAAACCATTCATTGACGTTATAGGTGAAGGGCCCCAAAGATCTGTATGTATAATTTGTAGTGGTTCTGAGGCATTTGATTTTGAGACTTTAAAGGGAAGAGAATGAACTTTGCCATATTTGTCATATTTGACACAATTTTTTTTTATATACACCAGCAGATGACACATTAGACTTTGCGCATTCTCCCTGCGGTACATTGAAATTTCGGACTGAATATTTTTTTATGAAAGTAATTGATGCCACACATCAACATTTACATATATCTAAGTGTCCAATAAATTGGCGTCTCTTTAGTAAACAACTGCCTATGGTGATACCTGTGCCCTGGGAAGCACAATAATCTTGGAAGGATGTCGTACGGATGATGCAGCTCATGCATATAAAAGCTAGAATTATCCTTGCTGGGGTAATTCTTCACTACAGTTGCAGAGCCTTGGTTTTTAACATGTTCTTCGTCTTCCTGGGCCTGTTTTCATTTCGTTTGTTCTTGGCTTTTTGTGTTACTATTTTCCAGCTATTTTTTTGTCCCCATTGTGTGTCTGTCAGTTATTTGTAATTGGCCCAAGTTAGAGTAGCTGCATCTTTTTTTTTAAATCATCTTTAACTTTAAAGTTGTCTTTAATACTATGTATATTTCACCAAATTATTGCAAGACTCAATGGTATCTAAAGATCTTATTCTTATCCTTACTCTAAATTCTTACACAATCTGGAAACCTTCCTCCATTCAGAGTTGGAAGGAATTTTGATATGGAAAGAAATAAAGTGGTTTCAAAAAGCTAGAACATAATGGATAAATAGTGGAGATAGGAATATTAGATATTACCACATAAAAACAACTTTGAGAAGAAGGAGGAATAGAACTTTATCTCTAAAAAATGAGGAAGGAAATCTGATTGAAGGTGATTAGGAACTTCATCTGCTTGTCTCTCAATTTTTTAAGGATATATATAGTGTTGAAGACACTCACATGACCTTGTTGTCCACTAAATCGTCTTTCCCTGCTATCAACCCAACTATTGTTGAGAGTTTGACTGCTATCCCTTCCAAAGAAGAAATCAAAAAGGCGGTGTTCTCCATGGGTCCCTATAAAGCTCTAGGATTTGATGGTTTTCCACCAATTTTCTTTAGATCTAATTGGGAAATTGTGAGGGACTCGTTCTACAGATTTATCACAGAATTTTTCTAAGGTATTAAGCCTGTAAAAGAGGCTAACAAGACTTTAATTTCACTAATTCTCAAAAGAGACAATCCTTTTTTGGTGAGCCACTTTTGACCAATCTCCCTCTACACGGTCTACTATAAGTGTATTGCAAAAATCATCAATCAACGGTTGAAAGTCTATTTGGATTCAACTATATCCCCCTTTCAAGCTAGTTTTGTTTCAGGAAGATAAATTCAAGAAAATATAATCATAGGGCAAGAAATCATGCATATTATGAAAAAAACAAGGAGAAGGCTTAGTTTTTTTTGCTATGAAGATTGATCTTGAAAAGGCATATGATCGCATAAGGTAAGAATTTCTTAAACAAGTTTTGATTGAAGCTGGCATGAGTTCAAATTTTATCTCATTAATTATGAATTGCATCTCAACAATCTCTTATAATGCTCTATAGAATGTGAACCAATCTGAGTTCTTTTCTCCCCAGAGAGGCCTTAGGCAAGGAGACCCATTGTCTTCCTCCACCTTTACACTCGTGAGTTATAACATTATTTAATATCATTTTCCCCTTCATTTCTGGAGTTATTAATAAAACATCATGCTAATGATGTTATTTTGGTCACCGATTGACGTTAACCAAAAGAGCATATGCATGACTGGGTTCCATTTCTACTTGAATGCCAAGTGATTCCCTATTCCCTTTCTGCCAATAATTTATCATAAGATGACACTTTTTTTTTTCAATACCAGCAGATGACACATTAGACTTTGCCCATTCCCCCTGCGGTACATTGAAATTTCGGACTAAATATTTTTTTATGAAAGTAATTAATGCCACACATCAACATTTACATATATCTAGGTGTCCAATAAATTGGCATGTCTTTAGTAAACAATTGCCTATGGTGGTACCTGTGCCCTGGGAAGCACAATAATCTTGGAAGGATGTCGTACGGATGATGCAGCTCATGCATATAAAAGCTAGAATTATCCGTGCTGGGGTTATTCTTCACTACAGTTGCAGAGCCTTGGTTTTTAACATGTTCTTCGTCTTCCTGGGCCTGTTTTCATTTCGTTTGTTCTTGGCTTTTTGTGTTTCTGTTTTCCAGCTATTTTTTTGTCCCCACTGTGTGCCTGTGAGTCATATGTAATTGGCCCAAGTTGGAGTAGTTGCATCTTTTTTTTTTTTTTTTAATCATCTTTAACTTTAAAGTTGTCTTTAGTACCATGTATATTTCACCAAAATTAAAAACATGTGATTACAATATGAAATTTGTGAAAAAATAGAATAAATATTTAATTTTACATATACTTAAATAAAAAAATTTAAATTTACATTACATTTTCTCTCATAACTAACAAATTTAAATAGAAATAATATTAAAAAAAATATAATTAATATCTCATCAAGTTTTTTATATTAAGAACCAAATTTTTCTTTTTTCAAAAAACGTCTTATAATAAAAATTGTAGTAGAGAGAGAAGGGGGGAGGTTCACTGTAATCATGAAGCCATAGGATGCAGGATCCGTGAAATTTTATTACTTAACAACTGAACAATAATAATAAACAAAAATTATATTACTTTAATGTACGCGATGACCACAAATCTATCAAACTGAATAAGCAAGCTTCACAATGCAATGTCTTTCGATCTAGTAATGAACTTCTCGATAGAGCCAAATTCTGATTCAACTAGTTACCGATACCTAAATACAACATGCTATTGCTCGAAAGACAATAATGTAATCAGGGACGCAGATGGCTAGGAGGCATCTAGAAAAAGCCTCCATAACTACGTTCAACGGTAACCTAGTCCTCCACTCTTTTTGGGTGAAAATATTTGTCATGAAGCTTTCCTTGCTTAGTCAAGCTTGACATTAGAATAGAGGAGGGTGTCCCTTGTGAGTGGCATGTTCAAAAGGTAGTATATCTGTCAGAAAAAAGAGAAATGGTCAATATTTACCCTTCCTCTCTCAATACCAGCTGGTATTGTCAGGATGAAAGCAAGAAAGAACTCCAAATAAATATCTGTTTATTGATTCTATCATCAGAAATATAACACGTGGATATAATCTAAGCATAATTTTGAGCAATACGTGCAGTTTACAAGAAAAGTTTGCACTACCTATCCTCGATAAGAGGTTGACACTTAATGAAATAAGAAAACAAATCAATGAAAAATTACCCCCCAAAAAGTCATCTAACCGGTAGCAAGATCTTATTGGTAAATATTAGTCATCCTTGCTTTTAAAAAAAAAAAAAAGTTACTTTTATTGCCTTGTTTTCGTTTTAAATTTTTCTTGCTTTAGTTAAGGTCACCAATTTTCAAATATTACGACCATCATTCACAGAGGACTTACCCCTATCAGAGTTGAGAGCAGCAAAATCAATCCCGTTACCCATGCGAGGGTTCGCCTGACCAGCACCACTTCCGCAAGTGATGCATTCAATGCTTTATCTTCCACCAACAATCGAGCAGCATGGTGAGAGGTAAACACAACATCAAGTGTCTTACCTAGCTCCTGAGTAGTCCTTGAATGAGAGTAGATAACTCCCACAATTTGACCTGCTCAATCATCAATAATTAACAGTTACGCAATTTAATTCTTTGGAGCAATCAACTTTAACGGTGACATCTCAACAATCCATCCGAGAATCTTCAAACTTTGAGAGTAATATCACTGAGGAATTATTATTCTAAAGAAAATCATTGCCAATGAAGTTGTAAAGCTCTTGTTTTAGATCATGTAGCGAGTATTTAAGACAAACAATATTTGACCTTTGTAAGCTTCCTGCAGTGAACCAAGTATCTTGGTTAAAGTAGCAAGTAACAGCTCCACCCCATCCTGAAAAATACTTTCAGCTCCATTTTGCTCTTGCAAGGCCTACACCATATTTGTTCACAAGACAACTATAATCCATGTTGATAACAAACATTTAAGGTAATGATGAACATAAATAAGCATTGAACCACCAAGAGAAAAAAAAAACTAAGCTCTAAGCACTTGAGGGAAAAGTGATATTCGAATTCCTTTCTTTTACATTGAAATTTGAAACTAAATCACATCTCTATTAACTATGCAAAGATCGTCTGTATTGGCAAATTATGTAGAGAAATCAATGCGCCTTTCCCCATGTACAAGCACCACATAGTGAGCAAGCAAGCATTGGCCAAAGTGATTCAGCAAAAACCTTAGAGTGTAAGCAAACAAATTCTCACTAAACTAAAGACTTGCATTTCCTGCTATCTTCAGTATGAAAATCATGACACGGAAGTCAGTTGCTAACATGTTTAAGGAAGTAATCAGCTTGTCAAACCCTTTAGTTTAATTATTCTACTGCTGCGTCAAATAAAACCATAGACTTGAAAGGGGCACGAGGTTTCCCTTAAATTAGTAATTTTCATTAATTTGGAACATTCACGTCATCTTTTTGGTTCCTTTATGCCTCATCTGGAATTTAATCAAAGTTTTCAGCAATCATTGGGGTGGGTACATTGACAACATTTTCATAACAAAATACCACTTAACTCAAGTATTATTGCTTCTCACTTTCATAGTTTCCACTATTTTGAATTCATTAACGTAAGCCTAGCCTTCAAAACATGACCTATAGGAATTTTGATATTAATAGCTTTTCTAAAAGCACAATCCAGAAACTATGACACTTCTAGTATGTTGTTGAGCAAAACAACAGAGGCACAGCAATAGTGGTTTCACTACATTCTTTTGAAAAGTTTAAGGACAGCTAAAAGAAAAGAACATGAATGCAGGAAACAAGAACAGAAATAATAAACACCTTAATACCACTGAAGCATCCCATCAACAACTCTGCCGGATTCCATGGACTCTGTGATAAGTCGTCATGCATTTGGATTGCCCTTTCAACATTGCGAACCAGAGATAGAATGGCCATTATATACTCCCTTTCTGATTTCTGCAAACAAAAACATGTAAATCTTCAATCAGATTCACAAATAGGCTCATGAGGTACCAAATAAAGTATTTAATCCCCATGATACCTTCGACATATGCAATTTCATCATTGCACCATTTGCCAAAGGGATGGTCAAGACTCCATTTAATGGCTCTTGGGCATCAGGAGCGTATGATCCACCCATCATAGATGCCTAAGAAAACAAAGATAAATTTCATTTTCATATAAAAATTGATAATCAAACAGCATAAAAATAACTCATAAAATTATATAATCAAGACTGACATAAGCACTAATTTCTTTTTCAGTGCAATCTTCTGACAGTTCATCCAAGAGAACCAAAGAAACATCATCTTCATCTGCATACATTTAACAAAAAATAGTAAGGAATAAGAACCTCCACAACAATCTATATTCTATTATCCCTAGTAATTATGAACTTTACTAAGTCTCACCTGGAAAATGAATCTCAACTTTGTCTGAACCAAGAATGTTTGTGCTTCTAAATGCATTGCTGAACATATTGTTATATTGGGAAATTTGTTTATGGTCTGCACGTATCAATTTTTTTTTGCATTCAATTATTATAAATGAAAAATTATAATAAAATAGATAAGCAAAAATCCAGCTCAAACACAGGCCAGAGACCGATAATTCCATTCACTTCCAGCAAAAGCACGGCACGGGGCCTATTGAATGGATTGGGAACAAGGATCGCATCCAACTGCAGGAAAGCAAAACATTAAGATTGATTAAAACTTAAAAAACATAATTAAACATAAAAAAAGGTTATCAGAAACTCAAAATCGCTAATAATTACCTTGGATGAACCAGCAGCTGAAAGGCTGGAAGAAGGTGCAAAACCAAGTAAAATAGATACAGCGGCACCAACTTCCTGAAGCAACAATGATGGATTCTGCAGAAAGTGTTAGTAATACATTCCAGTGAGATAGTGTGGAATATGATATTGACTACAAAAATAGAGCGCAGTTAAGATTTCTCCGTATATCAGGAGTTAACTTCGAAAAATCTTCTCACATTTCACATTATATACTTGCACGCAATTTGGTTCATTTTGCAAGACAACCACTCTAGAATACAATACATTTAATCAAGCGATTAAGACTTAAAGAAAGACGGGGAACGATAGGAATGATCTTACGTGAAACTTGGAAATAGAAAAGTTATCGGCACTAGCCGAAGGGGTATCCCAGAGGACCACAATTCACCCAGTGAACAATACTTCCACTTCCGTGGCTAGAACTTCGCGAGTCAATAGAACATCAAGCTTTCATTGATTCGTCACTTTTACTTCCCCATACTTCAAATACCAATTATTAGACTTGAAGGCTTGTGTTGTACGAATTATACATGAATCACAGGATTCAAGTAATTTTATTTTTCAAAGAACATCTTCTCGTAAACAAAGGAAATTTGATAAAGATAAACTCAATGAAATTACATAAGTTTACATGGATCTGTAATTTGAATCGGAAGATATAATATAATCTAAAAATGGTATAAGCACAGAAGTACCTCAACTTCATGGTCGGACGATCTCGTGCGAAGGAATTGATGGTCAGTGCCATCAATGAAGAAAACCGAACCCGAATCCTCACTCTGGCCAAATAATCAGATCAGAAAAGACAGATTGTTAGATCATAACCACAACGGAGAAGCTTACTCTTCAACCCAGGTTGATTCATTAAGGCAGAGAGAGAAGATGGACAAACCCTAGCTCGAGGAGAGATGAGAAAAAAGATCACAAACAAGCTCAAAACGCTGTAAACACGAAACTCCATCGCTCCAAGAAAGAAAGAGACGCTACTCGATCTCGCGGTTCAACGATGAAGCAGGAAGGGAGTCGGACTTCCCAAGTTGCCTCAAGATACTGAGAGGCGTCGTTTAGAATTAAAGGTAGACGACGTTTGTCGTTACCCATCCTTTGGCCATACAACGACGTCACCTCCCCCACCCCCTCTTTCTCACGCACCGATCCTGGACTAGCTTAGTTGGGTGAAGCAATATTTTTAAAATCGAATATAAAAAAGTCAATAATTTATGATTTGTATGGTTCAGTTGAGTTAGACCCGATAATGTAATAATTAAATTAAAAAAATTATATACATATATAATAATCTAAATATAAGAAATATATATAAAATTGCTATTTAACTTAAAAAAATCAAATATTTTAAGTTTATCATGACTTAACAAGCCACATGATATAACATAATATTAAATGATTAAAAAAATTAGTCATTTTTTAAAAAAATTTTGATAAAAAATAAAAAAAAGTTTTTTTAACAGTCCAGTTTTTAAAAATCGAATCCGATTTCCGATCCGACCACCAGTTTGAAACTACTCAACCTAGTTCAACCTCTAAAATGGCTTTTTCCTCTGAACTAAATCGATAACCAGACTGGTCGATAGTTGGACTAGTTCGATCGACCGGTCCAATCCAATTTTAAAAATATTGGGGTGGAGGTTAGGGATGAAAATGGGTCAACCCCTATACTTTTGACGGTTCGACCAAACCTATTTCAAGTTCAATTTAATTTATTTATTAGTTAAGTCTAGATAAATTATATTATACAAATATAAACTTTAATAGTTCTAAATCATATTTAAAACATTTAAAATTAATATATAAGCATATTTAAAAATCTCATTTTTAAATAGATTTTTAAATAAACTTTTCAATTATATTAAGTTTTGATAAGCTTAAGTTAAAGTTATGAAAAAAAAAAAAATTTATATAGGTTTTAAGTTAAATTTAGGTCTTTGTTTACTACACAAATGCTCAGGCCTATTTGTTAAAGTTTAGCTAAGTCTGATTTATTTCCACCAGTAGAGATGGGTAGGAAGCTGTATAAATTAAATTAAGATGATATATATTTTGATTATTTGATTTTGAGTTCAGAAATTAGAATATAAAATTAACGAAGAATTGATTCACTGGCTGAAAAAAAAAAATCTTATGCTAAGAAAAAATGGACCTAATTTTTAAAAATTTAAAAGTATGATCAATTCATATTGATATATAAAATATTTATTATTAAAAATTTAAAAATTTACAAAGAATTTATTATTATATACAATGATATATCATTGATAAATATAATAAATCGATCATAATATAAAATATAATGAATGTTAAGGTATTTGTTTAGTTTAGCCCTATAACATGGGTTATATATGCAAAATCTCCTAAAATTAAAACAGTATTTTGATTATCACTTAAACCAAAATTAAAACAACATAAAATTAAGTACAGCATGTCTTACCGCGAGATGAGTAGAGAATTCAACTTTTTGCGACTAGTTTTGTTTGTATTATTGTTCGAGGTCTTAACTTATTATCTATCAATTTTTAAATTTATGTCATATTTATTTTTTGACAATGTTAAAAACAACGTATATAATAAATACTAGCTCGATGCATTTATGCAGGCATGGTGTATGCATTTCGCAGTGATATTCGAGATCGAGACAGATAAATGTTCCAGTTAAAGAATCCAATATTTAAAGTTTAGTCAAGACTTGCTTTTAAATTTAAACGATTTTTGTTTGGGCAATTCGCTGTGTAATTGATAATTGGTTGGTGCAGGAATATTTGGAAACATGTGCTGCTGAACAAGGAGAGGAACACTCAAAGCACAGTCACAATATATGAATGTTCGCCACTTGCCCCTAGTAGAACTGTAGACTCAAGCCTGGACGGTGAAGGACACTGCTACTTTCATTCTATAGCCACGCGTCCTTTTTGCTATCCCTGTTCTCTCCTCCGCCTCCTCATTTATATATATAAGCAAAACCATGCAATTCCTTTCTCTCTCAGGTCTCACCTCCATTCCTCCAACAGCTTCTCATCAAATCCGCAAAGCCATTCCCCACATATGACCAAGGTATCGGCTTGAAACAAATTACACTTTCCACTGTAGTACTGAAGTGGTTCACAGACATAGTTCACAGAAACACATAAGTTGTTTAGACGGCCTTTTTTGCTAGAATAATTGATCTTCTATGTGAAAGAGAAATGATAAGTAGGTTTTCGGCTGATTACTGATTGCTATTTTTTTTTTTTTTGGGGACAAATACTGATTGCTAATTACCTGCAGTTGAAGTGTAAAAAGATAGGCAATGGAAGTCACTTCTGCTAACTTTAGTTTATTGAGATCAGATTACGGCTTTACACAGACTTTTTGTGCATTATTCCACCACACGTATGGAGTCTGAGGTTTATATCTGGTCCTCACGCAACTATTTTCTGACTTCAAACCTTTGTTTTTATTATTGTGCGTTGGGCAGGGCTCTGTTAATTCACACAAAAGAAAGTCTTCTTTGGATAATCTTGTAAACCCTCCTGCATCCAAGGTGTGAAATTTCCTTTTTGGTCATGGAATGGAGTTCTTTTTTGGAGGATGCTTTCCAACTTCTACATGTTTCATTTTTTGTTCATTTTGTCAGCAGTTGCCGTTGGCTTCTCTAGGTTTCTGCTTTATAATATATTTAGGATCTAAAGAACTTGAATGAGGGTGCCTTCTGTATTCACAAATTGACGATATATACTGCGGTTGGAGGGTGAAATTGGCCTCAAATACATTTTTAGCTGTTTAAGAGTCACTTTCTCTCTGTCCTTTGGATCAATCACAAGCCTGAGTTCTTCAACACAAATAATTCGAAATGACATTTAAAACTCTGAGGCATGACTGATATAGATGTATGGATCAGATAAAATTATTTTTTTCCTACTTCAAATAACATTTTTCTACTGTAGATTACAAGATGCAGTCCGGAAGAAGCTTTGTTTGATAAGATGAAGGTATGCATGCTTTCCTTCAGGCTTTAATTCGATGCATCTCTGTATGATTTACGTGCTTGAAAATGCTTTATCACCTGAGAAATACTTCTCCAATACTTCTCCACGGAAGAATATATAACCAAAGTCTGAAAGGAGCGGATAAAGTGAATAATGCAGAAACAGTAAGTATATGTGCTGAGATGTCTCACTTAGAGAAAGAAAGCTGTGTTTGCCTTCTGCTTTTTATGAACTCCTGTGCTTGCTTTCTTTTATAACTTCTTTCACTGACATTATCTCATTTATATCCTTTGTCATTTGCTATATCATATAGCACTTAGCCAAGCCCAAGCCCAAACAAGTTCACTTGGAGACCAAATTTTTATGGGGCCAATATTGACTCTATTGCTGCAATATACCTGTTTCTCATTAATGTTTCTCAGTTCTCGAAGTCTGCAACCTTATCCTTGCATTTGACAGAAGCCAGAGGAATACTTGATTAGAGCCGAAAAAGATGATGAGAATGAGGACAAAATTGAAAATGAGCATGGTGGTGATGATGGAGAAGGTGAAGATGCTGAGATTGGCAATGATCTTCAAGATGAGGCGGCGTACTTGTCACGAGACGAAGGCCCAACTTCTACAGAGGTATCAATCCGTTAATTTAACTGGAGAATCTGTGTAATTTACATGTTTACAGTAATATTAACTTTTCCTCATAAAGAGGGAACTTGAAAAGGGTTTTCCAGCAGAAGATGCAGATGAGGAGAATAAGTCTGCTAGACATTTCAGCCATGGATCTTACCTGGTTCAAGGAAAGCTAGACCATGGAATGGAAGATTATATTTTCGCTGAACATAGGAACATCAATGGCTACGACTTAGGGCTATATGCAATTTTTGACGGCCATGCTGGTCGAGTGGTCGCAAAATACTTGCAACGCCATCTATTTGAGAGAATATTGAATGAGGTGTGTGGCATATCTTTTAGTCATTTTAAAAATACTTGAGGTATTGTTAATATGTTATCTTTCGAGTCCTTCAATGAAAGTATTGTATATCTTAGTTCATACCATTGCTAATATTGTGTTCCTTTATTATGCAACGGTTAGCCTGATTTCTGGAAAAATCCAGTACGTGCTCTTAAGAGAACATGTAAGGCTGTAGATGAGGAGATCTTAGAAAAGATAGCAGATTCACGAGGGGGATCAACAGCTGTTGTAGCAATATTAATTAATGGAGTGAGGTTACTAGTAGCTAATGTTGGCGATTCTCGAGCAATATTATGCAGAAATGGTTCAGCAAAACAAATTACAGTAGATCATGAACCACAGAGAGAGAAGGACCTTGTTGAGAGCAGAGGAGGTTTTGTGACCAAGGCACCTGGTAATGATATCATGCTACAATCAAAATATCCTGCAAATTTTTAACTGTTATTTAGTTTTAGAATCAGTCAAATTCTTTTACCAGAGTAGGTCGGATATTAGAAGAACAACCATTACATGCTTGTAACTCTTTAAGTGATCATTGGAGTCCTACTTAGTAATTTTGAACAACCAGTAATGTCCTTTTGACCTTTTCAACAATTACTTTGCTTAATATGATGATTTTACCTGTGAACTTAGGGTGTGTTCCAAGAGTGGATGGCGTATTAGCAATGAGTAGGGCATTTGGGGATGGAAGATTGAAGGAACATATTACTGCAGAACCAGATGTGATGGTCCAAAACATCACCGAGGACACTGAGTTCATCATTTTGGCTAGTGATGGCCTCTGGAAGGTAATATTTGTATCAGAATATTTGCATATGAAGAACTCACACAGTATTTGCTATCAAGTTTTTCAAAAAAAAAAAAGAAAAAGAAAAAGAAAAAGAAAACTTCAAATGTGGAAATTATTTTTTAGAAGCTTTGTAGACTTGAAAATATGTTTCACATGTTCTGATGTTGACAAAGTACTTGATGATAAACTAATTACTTGAAAAGTAGTTGATACACAAGTTAATCCTACACAATAACATAATACATACAAGAATTCGGAGATTTTAAGCTTCACACAACTGTGTGTGTGTGTTTATAAATGCTTGATTTAATTGTTTGAGGGATTTATATTTTGTCAATTCGGATGATAATGTGTGGTGGGGATTTGGTCATTTTAGTTGAATCTTGTATTGCAGGTGATGACGAATGAAGAGGCTTGTGAGTGCATCAAGGATATGGATGGTGCTAAAAAAGCTGCAAAGAAGCTGGTTAAAGAAGCATTAGTTCAAGGAAGCTATGATGACATTTCATGCATTGTTGTCATGTTCTCCACTAGTTAATATGTTCCCACCAATGATTTATTTCTTTTTTTGATCTTTTACTCTTTACTTTTTTCTGAGAATGAACTCTCAACCATGTAGCAAAGACATGTGAGGAAGACTCCTGCATAGATGTTGGATCCAATTGATTTCGCAAGAGCTATGTATAATACTTCCAGCCAGATGAGCCCATGCATTCTCATGTTGGTTTTCATAGTTTGATAAGAATGTTACATTTATGCTGATGATTGATAAAGATTCAATTACATTTTTATGACAAAACAAAAATTATATTTAGTAAGCTAAGGCATGTGCGTGCTGTGAGAATTTGGCTTGCCGTGCCACGCACCCCGTGCATGTATAAGTGACTTCTTAAGTCGTGAATTAGGTTGAATTTTAGAGAGGTAAAAGGGAGAAAGCATGAAGAAAGAGGAAAAAGAAGAATTCCTTAGTTAGGGTAAGTTGTGGTTGGAGCTTGGGTGAGATGTTTGATTAATAACTTATTGAGTAAGTTTTGTATAATTCATACTTTCAATTCTATTATAATTTCTCTTAATATAAATCATAAAAAAATTAAATCAAAGAAATTTAAAGAGTTTGTTTTTTACCTTATAGTAATAAAAAGGTTCTCAAAAATTAAATTAGAATTTTATAATTGATTTAGAGTGGAATGATGGAGTTTTGAATTTGTAAGCTCAATTTTGGGCTTAATTCAATGAAAAGAGAGGTGGAAATTGTGTCCAAGCGAAATGGGGTCATTTGAGGTGATATAAAGTGATAATTGATAGTAATTGACTTAAATGGATTAAATGAAAAGTAATGAACAATTAACTGTGGGCAGCAACTAAGTGTTTTTGGTCAATTGAACTAATTAATTAATTGTGCAAATTATGTGTAGACTGGTATATCGTGCGTGTAAGTTGAGAAAAGGAGTTTGTAGAGATATAAGTTGAGAAAAGGAGTTTGTAGAGATAAGTTAGTGATAACTGAAATCCATGGATAACTTTTCTTGTGACAGAATGGTTGAGGTGACCAAATAACTTCTTCTGTTAGACTATTTATTGTAATTATATGTGAGTATACTATTTTTTACATGAAATTATTTTAAACTAAGCATGTTTTATGATATTGTATAAATGTTACATCAAATGTGCTTTTGATCAAATGGACAAATGAATATACATGATTTCATACTATATATATATATATATATATATTAGGTATTATGGATACATGTATAAACATTAACGTGAATTCTGTGATTGGTATGGAAAGTATGATAATAGAGGTGTGAGTTCACCCGTGTGGAGTGTAGTGAAAGATCAAATGGCATTATTCTTCTTAGTGCCCGATGGGATGTGGTATTGGAGAATTGTATCTCCTGAATGGCTTTTGAGGTGCAATATTGGAGATTATCTCCTTAGTATTTTTTAAGGTGCGATATTAGAGATTGAGATTTCTTAGTATCAATGTGATGTGATGTTGGAAGCAACGACATTCCATTGTGTGTATTAAGGAAAATCATAGTCCAGAAGTGAAATATAACACCTTTAGCCGGGTGATTTTACCACTGAATATGAGCTCAGGGCCAATGAAAGTATATATTGGTTTAAGGAGAGTCTATGATTTCAAGTCAGGATGATTTGGAGATTGGGTTAGTAGTAATCATACTATATGCTAGAAAAGCAGTGAAAAGTAGTGAATAGTAGTGAACATACTTCTAAAAGTGGTGAAATGTTATATTGATGTGATTTGTAATGAAACATATGTTATATTATATTTAATTATATATTATACTATACTTTTATATAGTTACATGTGATAATTAATAGTATAAAGTTATTTTATTACTAAAATTTTTATTTCACCCCCATGGTTATATTTTTACAGGATCGAGTAATGAGCCAAGCAAGGAAAAAAAGTTAGGATCGACTTAAAGTTATTAAAGCTATGTGATTGTCGAGTTGGTATAATGAACCTAAACCTTATGAATATTATGTATATAAGTTGCCATAGGGATTACATACATATTATAAGTTGTAAAATGTTGTAATTGTGGTGAATTTGTGACTATTAGCCTAGGTTACACAGATACGGGTACGAGTATCGGATACGATACGGCATGATACGGGGATACGGTAAATTTTTAAAATTTTAGGATACGGGTACGGTAATATATAATATTTTTTTATATAAATGTAAGTAATATGTCAACAATCAAAATGCATAGCAATCCAAAAAAATACAAAATACTATCAAATGCATCACATTTCATCATCCTCATTTTTCATTACATTACTAGGCTCTCTTATAATTTCTTGCTCTAAAATGGGTTCATCAAGTGACAAGCTTGCCATTTCAAGGCTATTGACAGCATCAAATGGCTCCATAGTGTCTCTACTAATATCCCACATTCTACTTTGCCCAATGCGATACTTTTCACTCTTCCTTGACAAGAGACGAAGATTAGTATGTACAAAAACTAAGTCTTCAGCTCTTTTAGGAGTGATCTTGTTTCTCTTCAATGAGTGGATAAAGGAGTAAGTGCTCCAATTTCTTTCACAACAAGAGGAAAAGCACAGTTGGCCTAGAAGTTTCAATGCAAGCCTCTGAAGAATAGGGGTGAAAGAACCATAATTTAACCACCACCCTTTAGGTTCTAAATTCCACCTATCTTGCAAGCAATCAAATGATAAATAGAAGTCTAAACTTCCAACAAATTTTGGGAACTCTTGAAAGACCGCCTTTCTCTCCTCAGGATCAGTAAAGTCCCTATAAAGGCACTTTACTCTCTCAGATGATATTTCATTATCTAAATGAGGCGGAATTTTATTGGGAGCACCTTCAAGCCATTGGGGTGTATAATACTTATAACATTTGCAAACAAAAAGGATTAAAAACAAAACTAAATAATTCATGAATGAAAAATATTGCAATAGTAATATAACTAACCTAGGATTCAATGAATGTGCAAGACAATGAAGGGGAGTGCAACTTTGTGTCTATCGATCAATAATGATCCTATAAACAACATCAAAGAAAGTTGAATACTCAGAAAGCTCCTTATTCTCATGCTTGTAGATGGACTCCTTCACTTGTTCTATCATTGAATCCCGCATTTCATAAATTAAATGAAGTATAGGCTTATTTGTGTTAGCCATCCGAAGCATGTCATAAATCGGTCCAGTGAAAGAAAGTATATAATCCACCTTATCCCACCAAGAGTCATTAAGGATCAAGTTTTCACTATGGCTGCCTTTCCAACATCATCTTCCTTATAAGCATTCCATGCTTCACTTATCACCATTGTACGAAGTGAAGTTTTAATGAGCTTGAGTCTTTTAAGCATAACAATGGTAGATGCAAAGCGAGTGTCAGCTATGGCAAGTAATTTTAATGGCACAAATTCATTAAAAATTGCCAATCGCATAGAATGACACATGATAAATGTTCTAATAAAAGCAGCATCATCCTTAACCTCCTCTATCCAATGGCATTTATTATACACAATCTCATTTGCCTCTGTGTTTTTTGCTGCATATATATTCTTTAATGCAAGATTAAGCGTATGCACAACATATGGCGTCCAGAAAATAGTGGGATACTCAGCCTCTATAAGCCTACCTGCTGATTTGCAAACAGATGCATTGTCAGTGATTATTTGAACCACATTTTGAGGCTTGACCTCTTCAATCACTTGACGCATCAAGTCAGCCATATAATGTCTGTCATTATATTCTTTGGATCCATCAACTGCCTTCAAAAACATGGGATCCCCATCACACACAGCCATAAAATTAATCAGAGGCCTCCTTTGAGCATCTGTCCAACCATTTGTGACTATACTCACTCCTTTCAAACTCCAAGTTCCTTTAATTGGTTCAAGTAACTTCTCTGTGTGAGCTCTTTCTCTTTGCAACAATGGACCCCTTAATGCATTATAACCAGGTTTGTATCCAGGAATGATGTTGTTCGCAGCATATTGATATGAACTAATGAAATATGGATTGCGTGACAAATGAAAAGATAGACCACCTGTATAAAACATTCTTGCAATTTCAGCATGTAGATTTTCTCTTGCCCCTTGTTGGAAGGCCTTTTCTAATGGACTTACTGCCCTTCTCTTGCTTTGGTTGCTTTCACTTGTCATAGGATATAAGGGAGATGAACCTTCAGCCGGGGGTGGTAATGGCACTTGCTTTGACTTGGTCTTCTCATCAGCATCTTCTTGTAATTTTCTCATCTCAACTAGGCAATACTCATCAACTTTCGAGCATATAGCAATTCCCTTGCTAGAAGTTTTTAACAAGTGCCACTTAACTCTAGAATAAGAGCCATTGAATTCTTTGTTACAATAATTGCACCTCTAATATCTATTTCCACCTCCTGGTATGTCTCTATTTTTATTCACCAAAGTGACATAGCACCATAAGGGAGTTCCATCTTTTTGTAGCTCATTTATAGAAGAAAAATGGGCTGCTGAATTAATACTTCCCCCAGAACTATTTGTTGTAGCCATAGCTAATTAAAAAAAATTGAGATAAACTAAAATTAAATATGACTAAAAGCATTGAAATGCAAATTGAGATTTGAGCAAAATAACATGTAACATAAAAATAGAAAGCAAGCATGCATTAAATATAAATTCTGCACATGAACATTGCAATCTAATATATTAAATTAATAAATAAAAATTAAATTTAGAGAAGAGGGCAGAGCATGAGCTTCGGTCAAAAGGGAAAAAAAAAACTGGACATGAGAGTTGAAGCAAAGTTTAAGTCTTTAAGATAAATCAAAAATAAAATAATAAAATCTATTTATTTTTCAGTTTCAGGCTCGTGACAGCGTGAGAGACAGAGTTGAGAGTTGAGAGACACGAGAGAGAGAGAGAGAAGTGTAAACTAGTGAACGGACGAAAGACCGACGCCGGTGAGCTGAGCAACTAAGAATGCGTAGGAGCACGAAAGAACACGGCGCACGACAGGTCGGACAACGGCGCAATCTGGGAAGGTTCGATCTGATTTCGCGAACTCAGTGTAAGAGAACGACGGCCGACTGATTTCGTGAGTTGGGAGAGAATGTCAGAATCAGAAGTGAGTAAGGTTCGATCTGCTTATTTAGGCACGCTCGCACGGAGCGAGTATCCGTGTCCGGTGTCGGATACGCCACCAAAATCGGCGTATCCGTGCTTTTTAATTATTAGCCCATATGTGAAATTATGTAGTGAAATAATTAACTGGACTAAGATTGTAATTATAAATATGTGGTAAATATGTAAAGCGGTGGTTTTATGGTGAAAATGGCCAAGTGGGTTAGTTTAGGTTACATGGTGATTGGATGTTGAAATGTAGAAATGGCTGATGAACAGTCATATTTTAATATATGTTATATAGTCAATCATGTGTAATGGGTCCTTTTAAACTTAATTTAAAGCCTAAAATGGTCTAAAGAGAGTAGGGGATCAATTTGAGCGCTTGAGTGCGTGAAATTTTTTTAAAAAGTAACTTTTTGCATCTGAATGTCTAAATTTTGATCAGATTATTAGATTGTGTTCAAACCTATCTCATTAGTTAACTTATGAGATTAGTTATGTGTGAGCGCTTGAATCACCCCGATTGAACGTCATATGTGAAAACGGTGCACATGCCTGATTCTTTGTTTTAAATGCATGCAATGATTGATATGAATGAATATTATTTATTTTTACTGTGTATTGGTCAAATGTATTATGATTTTGATAATTTTACAAAAGGGAAAAACTTATATACGTAACCTTTTATACTTAATGTGCTTATATCCAATTGAATCAAGATATGTAGAACCTTTATAGATTATTTATTCTACAATAAATTCTTGTTATTAATTTTGTTAACATATTAAGAACCATTTCTCATAATTTGATTGGATATAAGTATATTAAGTATATAAGGTTAAATATATAAGTCTTACCCTTTGCAAAATAAGTCTTAGGCATAATAAAACAAAGTAATTGATTACTATTCGATATTTCAAGTATGGTGATTAAGTTAATTCTTTCTAATATCAAGTAGAATTGGGAAAGGTTACATTTAGTGATTGAGTTATAGCTAATTCAAAACTACAAAGATAAAATGATTAATTTTTTCTTAATTCATTAATCATTCAATTTTACCATTTTACCTTTTTAACACTTAAAAACTCACAAATTGAAATCAAAAATGTTACGTAAGACACATTTAGAGATAATTCAGTGTTTCAAAATATAAAATACCTTAATAACAATAAAGTTTAATTAATTATACTTGTTCAATATTATCATTCTCTCTTTATTATATTTTCTTTCTCTATTTTCACAAACAAAGTTATATTAAATTAAGTATATTTTTAAAAATTTATATTCACGCTTTAAAACATTAAGATTGTAAAATGTATTTAATGAAATTTATTATTATACATAATTTTATAAAAAAATATCTTATAAATTACTTCATTTGAACCATAATATAAAAAAATTTAGTTAAAACTTTAATCTTTAAAAAATTACATATTTTCAATTATACCCTTATTATATACCGTGTATAAGTGCCTTGATAATGACAATTGAAATTTCAATGCTTCATTTTTTTTCAAAAAAAGTAATAAATGAAGTAGGAGTATAATTAGAAAAGCAACTATAAAAATTACTCAACAGCCTCTATTTATATCCAGCAAGGCTTTTAAAATATGTCTTTTATTACGATTGAAGGTAATATTTTTAGTATTGGTTCCATATTCACCATTTATTTTTCACTATGGGCCCATACCCACTTTATTGTTGTTGTTGTTGAAGCCCTTGTAATCTTTTTTTTTTTAGATAAAAAAACAAAAATACTTATAACATTATCTAAGTTAATGCAAAAATGACCAATTTGTTAACTATCACTAACCTCCATTAATTTTTAATGTTAAACCCCTCTCTCCTTGCTACTTGGAATAGAAAATGTGATGCAATTCTGAATGTGCTTGCCACCTATGTGCATCTTCTTTGTTTCCTTCTTCACATTCTCATCTTAGAAATGCTTCAGAATTAAAAGAACAAAGAACACAAGCAAAAGAAACCCAAAAAGGAAAGGAAAAGCACCATCATTGTTGAAGAATTGTACAAGTCAATAACAATTTCAAGAAAATAATCAATCAAAAACTCAACAACAATTAGTTTAAAAAAAATTATACAAGTTGAGACAATCGAAGAATTGAAGCAAATCAAAGTGAAAGGAGGAAATCAAAGAAGGGAATCGAAGACAAGGAAATCAAACACAAGAATACAAGAATCAAACACAATAACATTTTTAGGGTTTGAGTAGGTTTGTTGGTAAAAAATACTCCCAAATTTCCACTCCTATTAACAAGCTTTCATAGGTGACCTTTATAGCCTCATTTTAGTGAGCTGATGCTTGCACTCCCAATTGATGGCACCCTCATTACTAGAGTTGAAGGACTCTCTCATCTCGGAGCCTTTGGGTTTTGAGTATGTTAAGCTTCTGGGTCATGCTATTGCTCTCTACATCGAACCTTCTAAATTTATGACCCCCAAACTTTTAGATCTTAGAGCCTTCTAGATTGAACCTCAATTTGAGAGCTGTGACCCTTATCTCTTTCTAGATCCATTGTTGCTCATCCTTTTTTTTGGATTGTGTTGATTGAGTTCGTTGCTACTCATTCCATTTTCACCATTTTCATGCCGCTTGGTTTGTCGAGAGGTATCAAATTCATTGCATGAGTTCATCATCACCGCCACATCTTCTCCCTCCATTTGGTGCTCTATGAGGTTTCACTTCATTCGATGCTTCATAAGCTAATCTACTGTAGTAATCGAGGATAGATCGAAAGAGGAGGAGGGTGGGAAGAGCTGAACATTGAAGAAGAAAAGAAACAATATGTTCGGTTAAAGGAGACTCACACGTGGCAAGCACATTTAAATCTATGTCATGTTTTCTATTCTACCTGGAAAGGAGAAAGGTGCTTAATGTTAAAAATTAATGGAGGTTGGTGATAGTTAATGAATTAGTCACTTTTGTATCAATTCAGGTAATGCTATGAGTTTTTTTTTCACTTTAAGTTACTGGGTACTCCTGGTCGACCACTTGGTAGATATTTTTATTCCTTTGCCCTTTATTTTTATTTAATGTATAATAATTTAAAAAATTAATATAAAAATATGAGAAAAGGAGTCAGATGTTCACTGTAACCATTTAACAGTAAAGTGCAATATATTGGAGATAGAGATTTAGATCAATCCATTCTTGTATATTAGAATAGAGACAAATGAAGGGGATTATAAATAAAAGATCCAAGTTTATGAGTTTCTTTTTTCTTTTTCACCAACACCAAGTTTATGAGTCATATCTCATCTTTCACGTAGAAAGGATAATGAAATAGTTGATTGGGTAGCTATACCTTGTAAAAAGAAATTGTGTCCATTTGGATGGGTATTGTCACCAACACCCTCTTTAGTTGATATTTTAAACAATGATTTGAGGTTTGTTCTTCTTCTTTTGTTAAAGGAAGGCAGGTTGGAATCTTGGAGATAGTGAGACATGTTAGTTGAAGTGTTGTTGTTGAGAAGCTTATGACTGTTTTTACTTTGTTTTGTTTTTGTACTGTTTTTCAAGTTTTTTTTTGTTGCTTATTTGTTGTTTTGTTTTTCTATTAAGATGGCTTTGATATATTTTTTTTTATTCAGGTTTATGTGTTTAATTTTATTGTATAGGCTTTTGAATTGTTTTTTTTTCCTTCTTTGATGGCTTCTGTTATTAGCATGTGTATTATATTTTTTCTGTGATTAATAAAATTGACTTGTGCTTTGACAAAAAATAAAAAAGAAAAGAAATTAGAGTTATGTATCAGCTATCACCCTCTTAACTCGAACAATATGTATATATAATTATATCACTCCCTGTTGTATGTGTGTCAAAAGTGTGTGTGTCAAAGTCCCACGTTGACTAAAAGAAGGAATCTCTTAGTGTATATATACTAAGGAATGAAGTGGGCTAGTAAAATGGGCTTGGGAGAGAAGTGGCCTCGCGCACATGAGACAGGCCAACTTAGGGCAATCACAGTTGAAATCAGCCGATTCGCCCCCCCCCCCGCGCGCGAGTTCAAGAGGCACTGGGTTTCTTTTATTGGGTTATTCACTGGGTTCCTTTTACTGGGTTATTTTTTCCAAAAATGGTTAAATAAATAATTATTTTTGCTTACCCGAAAAACCTCTGATTTAGCTGTTTTCAATTTGAACTTGAGGCGTTGGCAGTTTTCTGGAAACCGAATTCTGTGCGTTAATGTTTTGTCTGCCAAACGTCTCCAGATTGAACGCTGAACGTTTTCAGATTAATGGACGTGCACGTTTCTGCTGTTTAAGGCGCGTAACTGAAGCATTAATCCATGAACGTTCGTTGTTTAATGTGTGTATAATCGAAGCATTAACCGGTAATTATAACCCAACGTTTGTGTCTCATTCCTCGGCCTATAAATAGACATGGGTGCGGACAGAACAGAGAGCCAGCGTTCTCGTCCTCTCCTCCCTTTGATCTTCTGTTCATCTGTTCTCATTTTTAGTCTCCGCTATTCTGTTCCCTTGCTCCGCCATAGGAAGTGCTCGTTTAATCCTGAGGGACTGCTGGTCCGCCGTCCAAGTGTATCGGAATAGTTCTTAAGAACAGTGTCCTTCCGGACATGACTCGAGCAATTAGTAGCTCGCTGTTTGCCTCTGCATCTGCTGTCTTCAACACTCCCTATATATATGGATATATATGGTGTCAATATAAAAATTTTAACAAGTTGCGTTGGTTTGTTTCTCGCACTACCTCAAATCCACAACCATAGGACTCATATTACTTATATGACATAAAATTTATAGAAAAATAGATTGTTTATAATTCATATTTAGTGCCAACTGTCAATATGAAATATTTTATACTTCACGCAAATCACAGGGCTGCCATGCAATCAGTCTGTATATAATGTAAAAATTATGACAAGTCATACCATTCTTTTTTTTTTCCTTTAAATGTGAGCACTTTTATTTTTCTGTGGATAACAAGTTTTTTTTTTTTGAGAAAATTAGTTCAATGGCCTTATAAAATATAACTCTCATAAATTATAGATAAGGTTTTTAAATATTTTTGAATATAGCCCATTCATAAAATTAATTAGATATTTTTACGTTTTGTATCCTCAAAATAAATTTATAATTAAAACATAATATATTTGATTTAACTAATCTTTACCTGATTGAATCTTTCATTTTTATTATAAAAAATCATATTGTGCGTGCTCCCTCTCTAATTTATCATCTCTAAATATTTTCTTCATTAGATTTTTGGATCTGATTTTCTTGGATCATCATATTCATCTCTCGTACAGTGCTTTTCATCATCAAAATTTTTGATTTAATTTTTCCGGATCACCATCTTTATCGCAGAGCTTTTCCTCTCTTTCCCTATCTGTTCTTCCCTAGATATTATGAAGAGGATATTAGACATTGAAAAGAAAACTTTATTACTGATCTGCGATATTATATCATTGATATACGAATGTATATAAATGGTAAACAAATTAGTAAGTTTTCATTGATATAACTTATATATTAGTGATATATAATAATATATCATTGATATGCTAATATAACCAAACAATCAAATATAAACTTATTTATAATTGATATACAGTCATATATCAATAATGTAGTATCACAAATCAGTAACATGAAGAACACATAGTCATTTTTTCAAAATAGATCAAACAAAATTTCAAGAAATCCTTGCTTGAACTCTAGCTTTTGTAATAGAGTCTGATCGACTTCTTCATCCTGGATTTGCAACTTTAGTGTGGCTTTATGTAGAAGCTGCAGTTTCAGATTTCCTCACCTTGCGTTTGTGATTTTTCAACCTGAATTTGTAGCTTCCAGTCTACCTCGCCTCATCTTGCGTTCTTGTGGTTTCCTGGCTGAATCTCTAACTTTGTTTATCCATTGATGTGAGTTATTTTATTGTCTATTGTCAGTTTCTTCGCCGTTGTGATTGAGAGTACAATGTTGACTCTATATCTTTGAGTGGGTGAAAGCGAGACTAGTGTGAAAAAAGAAAATCATGGTATTGTGATGTTTAAGGATAGTTTTATCTTTTGTATCAAAGAAAAATTAAAAAACGGCTATTATCTTAATTTAAAAAAAAGTGAATTATTAGTTTTATTTAGTTACGTAATATTGACTAAATTTGTGAAAGCCCAATTCTGTTTTTTTTTAATTTTACCATAAAAAATTCAAGAAGGTTTAGAAGTAGAGGCCCATGAGGCCCAAAATGATTTTATTTTATTCTATTTTATTTTGGTATTTCGACCCACGAGCAAAACCCTTGTTCAACCCCAGAAAGATTTGCGCGCGCGCCTCTCATCTGAACTGGATCTTCTTCTGCCACCACCGCTTCTCTCCCTTCAAGGTGGTCCTTCCCTTCGGCGAAGTTCTCCGGTTCACTCCGAGTTGACTTGAAAATGGCTGATGTGGTACAATATAGATTGGAGCGCATGGTCGACGAGCTCGACGACCTCGAGCAACGTGGCCTCTTCAGCCGCCGCGAAATCGCCGAGATCGTGAAGCAGCGTCGGAAATTCGAGTACAGACTCAAGCGTCCGAGTCCTCTCAAGCAGGACTTCTTAGCCTATATTGAATACGAGACTCAGCTTGACGCGCTCCGGAGGCTCCGCAAGAAGTTGGTGGTGTCGCACGAGTCCAAGAGTCAAGGAAATGAGAAGAAGAAAAGGAGGAAGTCCAAGTCGGATTTCGCTGGCGTGATGAGGATTATGGAGATTTATGAGTTGGCTTTGAAGCGGTACAAAGGCGATATTAATCTATGGTTTCGGTATCTTGAGTTTTGCAGACTGAAGAAAAATGGGAGGATGAAGAAGGTAGCATGCTATTGTATAACTATTTTCTCTAGAACAATGTAAGAAAGCAACACAGTAATATAGAGCCAAAAAAAAAAGGCTGGTTATTCAAATTGAAGATAAAAGCTGGAGATAATTATTAAATTAAATTGGGAAAGAAGCACGACTTTCTTCTACATAAATGATCAATATGATCTGGGTTCTGGAGACGTTTTCCGTTTTCAGACTAAGATTTCTGTTGTTCATTATTTAACACAAGTGATTCTTTGCATATCAATAACATTATAGCTACTCACATCCATGTCGTAATTTCATATTCTATTTTAATATTTGTGTTTTTATTATACCATCTGAACATTTGAGTCTTGAAATTTTTCAGGCCCTCGCAAAACTTCTAAGGTTTCATCCAAAGGTACCAGGAGTTTGGATATATGCTGCAGCTTGGGAATTTGACCATAACTTAAATGTTGCAGCTGCCCGTGCTCTAATGCAAGAAGGGCTTAGGGTTTGCCCAACTTCAGAAGACCTTTGGGTTGAGTATCTTCGGATGGAACTTACATATCTTAACAAGTTAAAGGCTAGAAAGGTTGCTCTTGGTGAGGATGAGGGAACTTTGACTCGAGATCAGAGGGAAGCTAGTGATAAACAACAGAGAGATGAAAATGAAGATTCATTCATGTCCTTCAATGTTAAAACAGAAAATAATGAGAATTCAAATGTGGAAGATGCCGACTCAGAAAAGAAACAAGCATTATTTGCTGAGCGTGGTATGAGAATCTTCCAAACTATCTACAGTGGTGCAGTTGAAGCTATCCCTTCAAGTCTTAATGTTCGGCAGCGATTTCTTGAAATATTGGAGGGTACTAAGTTAGCTAATTCTGAAGAAATGTGTAAGGAGATGCTGAATGGTATGAAGAGAGATTTTTTGACAGAGCCAGAGTTCTGGGATTGGCTTGCAAGGCGTGAATATGACTGTGAAAGTATGCAGGAGATGAGTGAAGAAGCCATCATTCCTCATATGCAAAAGGCAATACAGGTATGAATTCATGGGAATCACTAAGACCATAGAGAGTGATGTGGTAGAATAATTCTGAGTAAGAGATTTTAGGAGAGTTAAAGGCATAGAGAGAAAAAACAGAGGAGATAGAGAGAGAGAAATAGAGAGGAATAGGAAGAACAAGAGGGAAGAACAGAGAAGAGAAAGGAGATTCAGAGAGACTGAGAGGAGAGAATGAGAAATGAGAGATATTGTACTGAATAGTACGCTCAATCTTATTGATATCAAAAAGCATCCGATTTACAAGTATATGGCAGGGTATTTATAGGCTCTAATCCATCTTAATCAACTAACAGCTAATTTCCCAAAAGTAATACAACTAATAACTAACAATAACTGTTATAATTATAATGACATAACATGAATGGTGTGCTATGGCCGGTGATGACTAGCTTGGGTACCACTGATGTGGTAGAATAATTCTAAATAAGAGATTTGAGGAGAATTGAAGGGATAGAGAGAAGAATAGAGGAGATAGAGAGAGAAAGAGAAATAGAGAGGAATAGGAAGAACAAAAGGGAAGAACAGAGAAGAGAAAGGAGATTCAGAGAGACTGAGAGGAGAGAATGAGAAACGAGAGATATTGTATTGAATAGTACGCTTAATCTTATGGATATCAAAAAGCATCCAATTTACAAGTATATGTAAGGGTATTTATAAGCTCTAATCCATCTTAATCAGCTAACAGCTAATTTCCCAAAAGTAATGAAACTAATAACTAACAATAACTGTTATAATTATAATGACATAACATGAATGGTGTGCCATGGCCGGTGATGACTAGCTCTGGTACCACTGATGTGGTAGAATAATTCTGAATAAGAGATTTTAGGAGAGTTGAAGGGATAGAGAGAAGAATAGAGGAGATAGAGAGAGAGGAATAGGAAGAACAAGAGGGAAGAACAGAGAAGAGAAAGGAGATTCAGAGAGACTGAGAAACAAGAGATATTGTACTGAATAGTACGCTCAATCTTATGGATATCAAAAAGCATCTGATTTACAAGTATATGTCAGGGTATTTATAGGCTCTAATCCATCTTAATCAACTAACAACTAATTTCTCAAAAGTAATACAACTAATAACTAACCATAACTTTTATAATTATAATGACATAACAGAGAGCATATTATTTGTGTAAATGTAATGACATCATGTAATTCATATAGTAGACTCTATCTAGTAATATAAGGCTTCTTGTTGTTTTTACCATGAAAGTAAATTAAAAAAGTATGCATATAAAGATTATTGGTCTTGTGTATCTATGCTGCTCTGATGAATCTCATAACTTTTTTCCCCCTTCTTGTAGGTCTATGAGGAGGCTCTGAAAAGTGTTCCTTCGGGCAATATGTTTAGGTTGTATGTAAACTGTCTAATGGATTTTATATCTTATAAAGGGGGAGAAACCAATATATCTGGGTGTTCAGATGAAGCTGTAAATTATGTATTACATCTGTTGAGAATATATGAAAGGGCTGAAAGTATGGAGTGCCTTACTGAGGATCTGGCTTTTGATTATTTATCATTGTATTTGCAATTGGGACGGTTAGATGAGGCCAGGAAGCTGTCGACAAAGCTCTGCTCTGGTAAACTTGCGGAGTCTGTGCACTTATGGGTATTAAGGATAACTATAGAGATTAAATGCGTAGCCAGGAGTTCTCCTTCCCAAAGTGATGCTGCTCTGTTATCCCTCTTTGAACTCCTAAGATACAGTTTGACAAAATTTCCCGTTTCAAAATCTGAGAACTTGTGGGTAATGGTATGTTGTTAGCACGAAATTAATACTTTTGTTTTCTTTATTATATTTCCGTACCAGTTTGACCGCTGATTTGCACTGAGCATTGGAATGCATTTGGGCTTTTCTCAGATGATCTTTCAAGGCCCATTAATGAGCTTTTTTTTGTTTAGTCCCATCAATCTGTTATTTAAATTTCACACATTTTGTTCCTGCACAATCCAATCTTAAAGACTTGAACAGATTTTTTCCCTTTCGTCTAAGCTGTTCTGTACATTTGCTATTTCAAATTCATAAAGGCCTTAATAATTCTTCTTTGAAATTGGCTCTCCTCGCAGGCCCTTAAATTCTTTGCAAATCAAAGACTGTATTTTGGTAAGCTTCTGGAGACTTCTGTCACTACTTTGGCCAGGGATGGTGGCAGTGAAAGTGGATTTTCCCTCTCCTCTACCATTGTAAAGTTTATCCTTCAAAAGGATGGAATTCAGCAGGCCAGAGAGATATATAAACGGTATGTTCTGGATATTTTTTCTCATACTTATTTTTCTTCAGTTGGAAGTTTCATACGCTTTCTTCTCATTGCAGATTTCTAGCTTTACCACATCCCGGCCTTGTTTTATATAAAAACTGCATTGACCTTGAAACAAACCTTGCTTCTATTGGAGATAAAGATGGTCTCGTGAACGCCAGAAAATTATACGAATCTGCACTTGCAACTTATGATCAAGATGTCAAATTGTGGCAAGATTACTATCAAATGGAAAGCAAGGTATAACAACTTAGGCTTACTTGTGCTGTGACAGCTGCACGTAATGACAAAATAGCCATCATAATTGTCTGCATTTTCTGTATTCTTTGGTGGATTCCATACCCTTCAGAGTGTTTGATAAACTTGCAAAAGTTATGAGCTTATAAGAGTTATCTCGTAATATTGTCAGGTTACGCCTTGTAGCTGCGTGAGCTTGCATAAAATATCTTCATTAATTCCGCTGACTGTCTATCACATCAAATACAGATATATCATTTGAGCAGTGGCATATCTTTTATTTCAAATCGGTCTCCCATTTTGGTTTTTTGTTCACTGATGTTTGCAGATGGGAACATCAGAAAAGGCTACTGCCGTTGTGTGGCGGGCAAGGAGGATAATCAAAGATCCTGGCGTATTCATTGTTTCCCCCGATTTGGGATGATACTCAAAGACACTGATGAATCGTCTTGGCTTCAATTTTGACCTCATTTTTCAAATATCTTTCTTTTTAGATAGGGCCAGGCATGAAAGAGGTTTTCCCTTCATATTTTCTTTCGAGGAAGATACAGCAATTGCTTTAATCATGTCGTGTTTTTACATTGTAACCTCTGAATTGGAGGATTGAAATGTATGTCATCGTGTAATCTAAAAATATTTTTCTTTTTGGAGGAAAATATTTACAACGTTTTCAGTCTTACTGTAAATTTTTTAATAAAAATATCTATAATTAATTCAAGTTAGTAATTTTGTTCTTTTTTAATTTTTTTCGTAAATTGATTTTTCAATTGATTTGTGTACTTGAAGAAAACTCACTGGTCTTGGGCATGTTGGTCACTCCAGTCATCACGGAGGTGTTTTTTTTTTTTTTTTAGATGTGATGCATTGTTTGTGGGCCTCACGAAACATTAACGCTATCCAACAAAATCCATTTAGGCCGACCCTCCTCCTATGTAAACACAAGGCATTTTTTTAAAATTATAATAAAATTCCTAAAAAATATATAAATGATAAGTTAGTTCTTTAAAATGTTAAAATTTTTCTGAAGTCTTTTAAGAGTTTTTTAATCATTAATGAATATATATAAATTATTAAATTGTTCTTGTTGAAAATAAATGATTCATAATTTTTCTTTTTATATTCTTCCTAACTTCGCTTCTTAAATTTGTAACAATACAATAGCAAATCACAATGTTTTTTATTTGCTATTGTTTTATTGTGAATATAAAAAAAATTACAAATATAAAAAAAAAGTTATGAATCATTTATTTTTAATAAGAATAATATTATAATTTATATAAATTCATTAATAATAAAAAAATTTTTAAAGACTTCAAAGAAATTTTTGTATTTCAAGAAATTAAATTATTATTTACATATTTTAGAGAGATTTTATTATCAGTTTTTTTTTTTTGGTTATAAAAGTGGTTTTACTACTTCCAAAATAAAGTCACTTTCACATTACTCTGATCATTGACAAAAATGAACGTAAATTTTATACTCCTCCATCAAGTATAAGATTTAGTTAACTAATTCACGGAAATTAAAAAAATTGGTTATTTGTTATTATTGTGTGAAAAATGTGTCACTTTGCCTAAAACACCCCCTTCAAAGAGAATATTAAATGTGGGAGACAGTTTGAAAAACTATGCAGTTAACATGGATAATTTGGGGAAAGAATATTAAATGAGGGAGACAGAGAAGCACGGGTCCCATATTGAGGTCAACAAATATCTCAACTAAGTCTTATACTTAAGACTAGAGGGAGGGAATAGAAAAGAGTTGAGAAGTATGTCCTTGAATGACTCTCACATGTCAAGTAGTTTTTAGAGATCTAACCATTCCTTTTCATTAAAGACAAATCAATATCTAAAACTATAAAATGGAGTACACCACAGTTACAAAGACAAGTCATCAAGGCGTTCGTATAAACCCAGTTATTGTTGCATTGAAAAAAGTGGCTACTAAAGTAATAATGGTACAAACGTGTAGCCAAGCTGATCATGCTAAAGGCTGCAAATTTGGCGTTAATCAAGAAGCAGGGATTTGCAGAATAGTAGTCTAATGTTTAATCCTATCTTCAAACCTGCTTGGTTTCTATATCCTGAAGCCTTAGGGTAACTGCTCTCTTGTGGGCATCAAGACCTTCAACTTCGGCCATGGTTGCTACATATGGTCCAAGTTTTCTCAGACCATCCTCTGTAAGAGACTGTATGGTTATGTACTTCAGGAAAGAGTCCAATGAAACACCACTGTACATCCTTGCATAACCATAAGTGGGAAGGACATGGTTTGTCCCACTTGCATAATCACCAACACTCTCTGGAGTCCACGGCCCTAAAAACACAGAACCTGCAGAAACAATTATGATCACTGGGAGAGAACTAAGATGCCAATGAATCTAAAGCTCAAGAAGTTGGCATCAAATTCATATTCACTAATGCGGGCTTTTCTTTTTCCCCATGCCATCTCAATGTCTGAAATTATAAGAAGTTTAGAACTATAGGCAAAGAACTGCAAAAGGGGGTCACAAAATTCTTCAGCCATTAGATAACTGCAGCGAAGTTGTAGTAACCTCATCAACAGAAGGAACTAACTTCATTTATTCTTTAGATCTGACCTTGATAAAGTAAAGAAAATGCAAGTATGTGCAAATAAGAAACTTTATATTTAACCGATGAAAAAGTAAAGGCACATAACCTAACAGGCACAACAGACCAAGAAAAGGCCTCAAGGACTCCACAGACATGCTTTCTGAAACTGAAATTTACGTCTAATGTCTAAAACCAAGGGCCTGTTTTTTCACCGTCCCAAAACATGGTGCTCCATTAAAAACGGTGTTAGACACTCAATAAAAGTAAGGAATGGGACTTGAAAAGAAACGGCAGTCTGATGCTGCCAATGTAGTCCACTGTCCACCTTTGCAACATATATTTGGAAGGCCTAGCGATTAAAAAATAATTAAAATAAAGGTAAATGAGCAAATTATCTCTTGAATTTTAGGTCTACTCGTACCGTGATTCTGAATTTGTTTATTATGCAAATTATTACCTCAATTTTTGAAAATGGTGCAATTTAACCCTTGCCGTTAACAAAAGTTATTTGACAATTAGTTAATTAGAAAAGAACAGAAAAAGGATAAAAAAATTACAATAAAGGACCCAAAAATTACAAAAAAGAACATTTTTTTTTTGAGGTTCTTTTCTGTAATTTTTGAGATCCTTTATGTTATTTTCTAGTCAACTACATTGCACTGTTTCCAAAAGTTGAGGGAACAATTTGCAAAATAAATGAGCTTAGAATCTATGATGCTACTTGACCTAAAATTCAGGGGGTAAGTTGTTCATTTATCCTTAAAATAATAACAGTGTTCACGTGATGGAGTCCCCTTCAGTCAATGACAACTTTCTGTAAGTTCCAGTTTTAAATCAATACACTGCCACCGCCCCCCGGGTGGGGTTTGGGGGTGACTCTGTGTGGCTTCGTTGGTCACAGATACTTCACATTTTTACCAACATCATGAAGAAAAGCAATAGAAGGGAAAAACAATAGAGTCTTACCAGCATTCTCAATAAAACTCTCCCACTTCTCTGCATCATTCACATTGACAATTAGATGCTCAGGAGCGTATAAGTTTGAGAAATTGATTGCCTGGAAGTTCGAGAAGAAGTCATGGATATTGAAACACTAAGACTTGAGCGATCAGAGAAAATTAGGAACGAAGTGAAAACTGTTAATAAAGAAAAAAATTAATGGCTAATTTTTATTGTTTCAAGTTTTGAATTTAAAAATATCGAGACATAATCCTAAATATGATGCAAAAAACCCATATAGCATGCTTCAATACTCAATAATCTCTACTATTTTGTATAACCTTATTACCTCTGCACACTCACAGTGAAGCCCAGCACAGTTCGTTATTCCTAACAAAGAAACAGTTCTCTCTCTATACATACCTTTTGTCTTTGCTTTACTTAAGACAATCAAATATGCTAATATACACACATATAATGCACATAAAAGGCATTACTTGGGCTTGAGCATAAAGAGAACTTCAACTACAGGACTAACCTCAAGCATATCATGTGCATGCACAATAAAACTGTGGCTCAGGGCTTTAGAGGCAAACTCTCCTCTTGGAAGACTATTGCACTGCTTGCTGAGTTCTTCCTCTATAGCTTTTATATCCACACCATCTCCAGCAATCACAAGAACAACCTGACTATCAGGACCATGCTCAGCCTGAAAAATCATTAGTTAGTTATAATGACGTCAGAAATCCACATCAGAAAAATGTCTCCTGTTATTCACTTGAATAGATTTGAAAAAATGAATACTTTTAAGATTTTGAGTTGTTAATATGTCTAAAATGCAGGAAAGTAAAATGACTCTACATGACCATTTGTATCGAAAGGAAAGCAAAGTGAAACAAACTCTAGATTGAATATGTTAGAAAAACAGCCTAAATAGATGTCAGACACACATAAAACATGTCATACATTCTCTATCATGTATTTATAGCTTTTGTAAACCATTCTTATTGTGGAAAAAAAATATTAGAAGAAGAGATAAATACAAGGAAAAAGACAGAAGAAAACAGATGCAAAAACAAAGAATACACAAAACTTCATGATTTTTCTACAAACCTGGGAAAGCAAATCAGCTGCTACATGACGAGGCACAGCAAGCTTGTCTGCAATGACCAAAACTTCAGATGGTCCGGCTGGCATGTCAATTGAAACCATGGCTTCACTGTTCTGAAGGTTTTAAAGATTAGGGGGGAAAGCTCTAAGATTTTGAGTACATGAAACAACGATGAAAACAAAACCAGACTTAATCGTAAATGGGTATACTTGCAGTATCATTTTTGCAGCTGTGACATACTGATTTCCAGGGCCAAAAATCTTCTCAACCTTCAGAAGTGACACCACAAATCCACAGTTGAAAAATTGACACAAACTATGAAATACTGGAAAAAGTACAAAAAGTTACTTCCAGATACTTTTCAGTCATCTAATTATTTAATATAATAATATCCTCTTTAAAACATCAAAGTGAGCAAATTCTGATGCAATATCTTACTAGGTAATCATATAAAGGAAAAAGCAGTGGAGAAATATGTTGCCATTGACCATGAATTGTAAACACATTAAACTCTTCAAATTAATAATGACAGTACAGTGGCGAGTGAGATTCCAAAAGCTATTCAAATCTTATGAGATGACTTTGAATAAATCAAGCAAATTTAATCATGAAGACGAGCTGATTTTAATGAGATATGCAAAAGGAAATGATAAAATAATTAAAATACATACAACACACTTTATATTAAGAATTTAAGAGAGGATAGAGCTCAATCTAATGACTGCTAATAGCACAACAATAATTTGAATATAGAACACGACAGGAGAGATAAGTTATCATTGAGAACCTTTGGACAAGATTCTGTACCCCAGGCCATTGCTGATATGGCCTGAAATGGAGAAGAATATCATGTAAATTAATGTTTAAGATAATACAAATACATAAAATACAACTAAACGTAAAGGGTAGTATTCTCAAATTACAAAGCCAGAAAATTGGTTATGTCATCATTTCAAACCTGAGCTCCTCCTGCTTTAAGAATGTGGGTCACCCCAGCCTTCTTTGCACAATACAAAACCTCCTGCAGGAAATCATTGGTCATAACTCGGAATTCAGAGCAAGACTAGAGAAGCCTCATAATTATATTATTCATCCAAGATGAACAAATACCTTGCATATATTGCCATCCTGAGCTGGAGGAGTTGCAAGAACAATAGTTTTACATCCAGCAATCCGTGCAGGCTAGATACAGAGTATTTAAATGTAAACTTAATATGGTGATAAACGTTAATAATCACAACAATAATTATTAGATGAAAAACAATAACAAAAGCATATGAAATATCATTCAATTTACTATTGAAAGCATCAGAGCTGTTGATGGTAATACTGCAGTTCCCCCTGGAATGTAAAGACCCACAGAATCAATGCATCTTGCAACTCGCTTGCATTTCACTCCCTGACATTTATGGAAAATACATATGAATCAAAGATGCGGTATTGGATGGCAATGAAATTTGAAGTATCAAGAGTGTCACAGACATGAAGACTTGAAATGAAATGGCATGACATGCACATCATTTATGAACATCCACAAGTTTAGAATAAACCTTTTTGAGAATACTGAAGCATATGACTGCATCTGCAAATGAATCTTCTAAGCATTATATCCTTCCAGTATCAATCTAACTTTTCCAAGATATCGCAGCAACAACTTTTTTTTTTTGGGGTCAAATTGCAGCAATAGCTTAATTCTTACTATTGCACTTTGCTATACCAATTCCACTAAACTTTCAACTTTTTTTTATTTTATGGTGAACGTGAATATGTATAACGGCTCACACTCATTACTTTTGTCCACTCAACCTAGCCAAGAAATAAGAATGAACTAGTCATTAACATACTTTCATGTTCTCTACACTTTTATCTGCTGACTTCTGAGCATGATGAAACGCATATATATTGCTGTAGGCAATGTCAAAAGCTTCCTTAATGGATTCATCAAGCTGCAGAAAGGCACCAAATCAATAAGCATTCAAAATAAAGGAATAGTTTCAACCAAATGCATACAAAGTTTTTCGATTAAGTTATGCAGGTTCAAATAATTATACCACTGGATCAGGAAGCTCTGAGACATTTTCAACAATCTTGTCTAGTTCTGCTTTGTCAAATTTTGATGTATACCTATGAAACAAGAGTAGATACAATGTTTGAAGCTTAGCTAAAGAAGATATGAAAAGACACAGGAGATAACTAAATAGGATTAGTAATTGAAAGTAATTAACAAATTTAAACAAACTTCGCTGGGAACAACTTATTAAGAAGCACTGACTCTTTAACTGCTGCATCACCTCGTTTATGAACATCATCAACAATTGGGTTTACCTATAGCACAAGGATTCTACGTTAATCAAGCACAGTTCTGTGAAAATGATCTATAACAAAACATTATTAATCGTAGATAAGTTTATCAGGTAAATTAAAAACAATAACTAATACTTACCACACTGAAAATGGAAGAGAAATCTACGCGAGGGCGAGTCTTAAGACTCTCAATCTCAACCCAAGTAAGTTCTGACAATCTATATGACTTCATCAAGCACTTTATCTGATTACAGGAAAACATTGTAGCAAGAAATGCAATGTTATGGCATGAAGAACAAAGCTTAACGATATGGCAAACTGACAAGGTGGTTTAACACCTTATTTTCCAACAAACCACAAACAATATAATTAGCACAAAGATTATAAGTTAAATATGGTGCATATCTTTCTATCTATATCTGTGTATGGTCTATATTCCACAACTTTTGTGCTACTTAAGATACTGAAAAAAATGCTAAACTAAAATTCTAATGTGTCGATCAGTGACCAAAATTGAATGTCCCCATGCCCAGAGACAGAGGGCACATGCATAGATCCATATTCTCACAACCCCACAGAGTATCAAGAAAAACTGTCAATCTTCAATTGATACGCCTGTTCAATGCCGTGAGATTAAATCAATGCCGTTCTGGACCTTCTGGAAATGCCAGTAATTTGATAAGCTCAAGTTGGGAAGGCCTCTTCAAGTGATTGCTCTGGTTAAACATAAAAGCTGACTCCCCGCCATCATCTTTAATCAGACCAATAAATAGTACTCACTATGGAATAAAAGTTTTTAATCAAACAATGAAGAAAATTGGAACTTAAGGAAGAAAAAATTTCAATTGGACAAATGTTACCAAAACAACAATATAGACAATCAGATAAATATTTTAGGTAGCCAGCGAGGAGCAAACAAAAGGGATTTTACTTGAATATGGATACAGGATGAAGACTATAGTAGAAGTCAATAGCATCGAAGCCGAATATAGTCAAAAGGCTAATGGTGTCTTCAAATTCCATTTTTCAAATAAAGATCAGAGTCCAATAGAAAGATAGGAAAAAGCGGAACAGTTTATTATTTTGTGGCGTTAATTAACTTGCTTGGCTAGCTGAAGGTTTGTTTCACGTCCTAAAACACAAGCAATGGTACTTCCACAACTTTCCGGCCACATGAAAAACAACTCTGCTTCCCTGCCATTGATATGTAAAACAATCCGCCGAATCAATGGCGCAAGTCAACGATTGCATTTTGTGTAAACGGAGTTGTGAAACTATCTCTTCTCGGTGTTTTCTAAGATATCAACTGCAATGGATTTGGGCGGATTGAGCAGCACCAGCGCTTTACACAAGAAATATAAACCCATATATACAGCAAGCTGATAATCCAGCAAGCATCCAGGAAGCGCATTACAAAACCACAAAAGCTGTCTAGAAATGGCACCACCATTAATGCAACGCAAATTTATCACATAAATGCAGGGCAACCGAAGGGATTTGTTAAAACGATATGCTTTCATCGATAATGAAACAAACAAAATCATCTCGGAATCAGTAAATCTAAGACAAAAATGTTGTCCGAATAATTTGGTTAATGTTGATAAAAGCAAAAGGCGTAAACTTACAGTGTGCGCACTGTGCAGGCCCGAGAGCAGGTTGAAGGTCAAAAGAGAAACGCAAGTCTGACTGGCGATTGGCGGAGTCCTTTGCCGGACGCGAAGGCTAACGTTTTGTGCTTGACGTCATCGTTCATTTGTATAAAACTACAAATACAAACGTGTCATTGAAGAGAATAAAGCCTACAACAACTGAAAGAGAGTGAATTTATATGGGAAAATGAAAATTGAAAATTGAATGATGTCCAATAAAAATACAATTTGCAGCAAGAGTTTTTTTTTTTTTTTTGGCCAATGATTTGCAGCAAGATGAATAACTGAAAAGTTGAATACTTATTATTACATATAAAATTAATTATTAACATAAAATCGTAGTTTTCTTAAAAATAATCAAACACATTATATATCAAAACCAATTATATTTTTTAAGTTTATAATTAATTTTAACAAATAAAAATGCTTGGATATATTTTTATAGAATCATGGAAACATGACAATAAAATCTCTCTAAAATATATAAATGATAATTTAGTCTCTCGAAATATCATAATTCTCCTAAAATTTTTAAAAATTTTTCTGTTATTAATGAATTTATAAAACTACTAAATTTCCCCTATTAAAAATAAGTGATTCATAAATTTTGTTTAAATATTTACAATTTTCATTCTTATATTCATAATAATCAAACAGCAAATCATTATGATTTGCTTTTTCATTATTACGAATATACGAACGAAAGTTGTGAATATTTAAATAAAATTTGTGAATTATTTATTTTCAATGAGGGTAATTTAATAATTTATATAAATTTATTAATATTAAAAAAGTCTTTAAAAATTTTAAAAAAATTATGATATTTTAAAGAATTAAATTATCACAAAAAAAAATTATTATCATTTTTTTTTTTAGTCATAGTTGTTATCCTTTCCATGTTATTGTTACATGCACGCTCATTGCTCCATTCCCCTGCGGTGAGAGTATAAAAGAAGAAATCCATTCATATGAAGATTACAAAACCTTCCCATGAAAGCCCAAAGCCCCATCTTCAACAACCCAACACTACAAATCCTAGGAAGGTGCCATACACTTGACACCTTAAAGCAAGTTCATGCCCGTATGCTCACAATTGGTCTCGCCCTCCACACATACCCTCTCAGTCGTCTCCTCATTCAATCCTCCAAGCTTTCCTTAACCTATGCTGTTAACATCTTCAGAAGCATCCCAAATCCAACAATCTTCCTCTTTAATACTCTTATTTCTTCTGTCACCAATCATCATAGTGAACATACTCATGTAGCCTTCTCACTTTATAATCAAATTCTCTTCCACAATAACACTACCTTGAGACCCAATAGTTTCACTTTTCCATCCCTCTTCAAGGCTTGTGCCTCTGACGCATGGCTTCATTATGGCCAACCCCTTCATACCCATGTCTTCAAGTTCCTTGAACCCACATCTGATCGCTTTGTCCCAGCCTCTCTGGTCAATTTCTATGCTAAATGTGGGAAATTAAACCAGTGTAGGTATCTGTTCAATCAAATCTGCGAACCTGATCTGGCCATGTGGAACACTTTGTTAGCTGCTTATACACGTAATGCTAGTTTTGAAGATGCTGATGTGTCTTTAGACGTACTGCATGGGTTCAATGAGATGCAGGAGTCTCAAATACGGCCTAATGAAGTTACATTTGTGGCTTTAATTGGAGCTTGTTCTAATTTAGGTGTTCTTAGTCAAGGTATGTGGGCACATGCTTATGTCTTAAGGGACAATATTGTGGTAAACCGATTTGTGGGTACTGCATTAGTGGACATGTATTCCAAATGTGGCTGCGTGAACCTTGCCTACCAAGTGTTTGATAAAATGCCTGAAAGGGACACATTTTGTTATAATGCAATGATTGGCGGGTTTGCGGCTCATGGTCACGGGCATCAGGCACTTGAACTTTATGAGAACATGAAACCTAAGGGGTTGGTTCCTGATAGTGCAACCATTGTAGTTACTTTGTTTGCCTGTTCTCATGTTGGATTGGTGGAGGAAGGTTGTGAAATATTTGAGTCCATGAAGGAGGTTCATGGTATTGAGCCAAAGCTTGAGCATTACGGCTGCCTAGTTGATCTTCTTGGTCGAGCAGGACGTCTAAATGAGGCAGAGAAGACGGTGCAGAAAATGCCCATGAAGCCAAATGCAATATTGTGGAGGGCTTTACTTGGGGCAGCAAGACTTCATGGAAATATAGAGGTAGGTGAAGTTGCACTCAAGCAATTAATGCAATTAGAACCAGAAACTAGTGGAAACTACGTGCTTCTGTCCAATATGTATGCTAATTTCAACAGGTGGGATGACGTGAAAAGAGTGAGAATTCTAATGAAACATCGAGGTGTTGACAAAATTCCTGGATTTAGCTTAGTTGAGATTGGTGGGGCCATGCATAAGTTTCTCACAGGTGATAAAACTCATCCATTTTCTAAAGAGATATATTTGAAGATTGAGGAGATGAATAGAAGGCTACAAGAATATGGTCACAAACCAAGAACAGCTCAAGTTTTGTTTGACATGGAAGAAGAAGACAAGGAAGATGCTCTTTCTTACCATAGTGAAAGGCTGGCGATAGCATTTGCTCTTATAGCAGCATCGGATTCGAGTTCTCCCATAAGAATTTTGAAAAACCTTCGTGTTTGTGAGGACTGTCATGCTGGCACTAAGCTGATGTCAATTATTTATCGGATAAATATTGTAGTTAGAGATCGAACTCGCTTTCATCATTTCCAAGATGGGACTTGTTCTTGCAAGGATTACTGGTGATGTCTACCAAAGTTATAAATACCTGTGCAATGCAGTTTTGTTTTGATAAATTAATATGCTACAAGTGAATATAATTATTAAAATAAGATGAGAAGTACATATTCTTTGCAAAAATTTAAATACAATTTTGGCGTGTTTTGTTATTGAGTTCTTCAACAGAAGTATGAAATTTTTTATAATTCTTCAACAGTACACGATAACTTTTATTTAAAAAGATCACATAAATATTTATTTTTTTATAAACTAAAGTTATTACTTAAAATTTGCCGACTCAGTAAATTTCAAGGTGAACATATATACTTTATTTTTTTTAATTTCAGTAATTGTATTATTTTTCCAACGTTAGAAACAATGCTCTGTCAAGTTAAACATTTTGCATCACCAAAATTATATAATAAGCTTTACCCAACCCCCAAAGCTATAGATCACATCAGGATACACATGACATCTCTCTCTTCTTTTACAAGAATCGTTTGAGACCACGTCCAGGAAATATAACAATCGAAATTCTCCTTTCTGTCATTCTCGTTTGCTCCAACTTTTTTCATTCAGTTCCCAGCAGTTGAGTAAACTGTACGAGTTTCAGCTTGTTGTCCAAAAAACATATTTCATCTGCTGATTCCATTCCATTCCCATATAACATTGAATTGGTGATCTAAATCAGCATCCTTCAGCTCATCTTCAACCATAGATTCTCTTCTAATAAAAACAGCAATCTGTGAGGCAAAGCCCGGTTCAACATCAGCTGACCCCCCCACCCCACCGAACTCTACATTGTAATTGTGTCGTGCAGCTAAATCAGATGCCCACCGACTGAACTGGTCTCTAGTCCACTCAAATTTGTGGTCATGATTGCGAAATCTACATGACGGTAATGAGGATTTTTCATCCGACTCCTCTTCTTGTTCCTGGTTCGCGGGATTAGACCTCTGAAGCACTACATTGTATTCATAATTTGGTGTCGAAATTATGAGAATCCTTGGACGAAAAGAAGTTAATACTACATCACCAAATAGACATGCCTGGTCTTCTTCCATATGCTCAATAACCTACAATATCACCAATGATTTATATCAACTTCAAAATCACAATTTCCACAAACACACACACACACACACACACAAAACCCGCAGGTCTAAAATATGCATACCAACATGCAGTATTTACATAATACATGGTTTACATTAAATGGCAACAAGGATACTCCAAGCTGGTAATCAGGTATATAATACCCAAGCTCCACATCTGACAATCAAATCTCTACCAGTCTAGGGTTACTAGTATACAAATGCAAGCAAGAAGAAGCAGAAAGAAGTAAGCTCAGAAGTTCTCACAATTTATATATTTCCTTATTGCAATTTTCCTCATTCCAGAGTCAAAATCTTTTGGCAGATTGCTTCCCATTAATCCCCATTACATCCTATTTGCCCATTCTCATGCATGATACCTTAGCTTCATTTTAAATTGTGATTGATATATAGGTTTACTAGTCATATAAAGAAAAGTCATCTGCAACAAAAGTCTCAGTAATGCAAGCATGCATACACAGACACTATACATACACATATGGTCCTAAAGTAGAAAAGGTGGGAAGAAGGCAACAATTCTGGGTTAATTATTGAAACGTGTTGAATATTGACTAATTATCTGACAAAAACAACAAAGAACAGAACTAGCAAATTTGGTCTCAGGTGTGAGCCATTCAAGGTGTAATGTTGGGGTCCTGAGTTCAAATGCTGGTATAAGAAGTAGAAGACAATAAGGAACATATTCTCATATCAATAGTAGCTAAACCAACAGCCATTGATGAGATCAGCGACAGAGCAAAAATAGGAGAGGAACTTATGTTCTAAAGGGTATCTTTAAATTTGGATGTACAACGTGTAAGTAAGTCAATGCCAGTAAAAAGTACAATGGGGAAGGGAGTACCTCTAAGCAAGTGCCAATATCAAATCCATGCAATCTGGAATCAAAACTTGTAATTGAACCTTCATAAAGAATAACAGATTTGATCCCAGCAAATGGCACATCAACGTCTGAGTTTGTAACTAATTTTGAATTAAGAACCTGCATAGTTCATAGCTATCAGCATTGAGAACCTAATAGCTCCACAAAAGGGATGGTGGGTGCAATAAAATCATAATCAAATTCCGCAGAGCAACAGTCGAATTATATAACATTTTTCACTTGGTTATAGTATGAGATATATCGAGTGAAGACAATGTTGACTATCAATCGGAACAACAGAACTCATCTCTAGTAAAGCCAATAAGAAGAAATCCTAGGTGCTGTACCAAAAGAAAATGATAATTTCATGTTATAACTTATAACAATGTAGTTGACACCTTTGCAGCCCGAGCAAGACCTTTCAGTGAAATATCAACGCCAACAATTTTTTCAAGAGAAGTAGGATAATTTAACAATGCTTCCAGCAAACTTCCAGATCCACATCCAAAATCAACCTATCACCAAGGAGAATATTAAACTCATGTCTTAGATAAACAGTAAAGAATAGATTATAAGAAATTTATGTCTACCAAAGTGGCAGCACAGGATTCTATAATGTGATGCACTGCAAACTCCACCCTTTGCTTTGAAAGTGGAGGGCTAAAAAGAGCTTGTTCCATCCTTTCCTCCATAGGTTCTGTTAACTTGGTCAAAACTATTGCATATTCCATGTAGCAGGGTTCTGAAAAATAAAATGAGAATAATCCACTTGGTTTTTAGGAGCAAGTTCAGACCCTCAATCCCCAACCAAAATGTGATCTCCCCTTGCCTACACCACTTTTCATAGATAACTAACACAAGGCATCCTATCTAATTTGCAAGTTCAATATCCTAAAAGCATTTTGTTCTCCGTCAATTGAGCCATACCATCATTTAGAAAACCATCAAGATACAAATAACAGGAGAGATTAACTTACTAGAAGACAGCAAAGAAAGAGTTCTGACTGAATCAGCAGCTGAAGCTAAAATCAATTCAGAAGGGGGTAACTCTGCGGTGAAACAAGCAGACTGTCCAACACACATTTGCATCACAACCCCCTCAACATCGGTAATCACAGCACCAACCCCTATCTCAAACTCAAATTCTTCGCAAGCTTCAATAAGTTCTTTCATATTGCCACCCTCTACCACCAAAGAAATAGAATAGCTTATACAAGGTATAGATCCATTGCATGGGCAAACACCAGAATCTGACCCGTCAATCTTTAATGAGCGTATTCCATATGCAGGTACCGTACATGATGGACGCATACATTCAAGTGTGTTAAGCTGAGCATTTCGTACTGATTCACATACAGCAAACTCTTCAAAAAGGTTTTTGGAATGAATCTGAATATTGAAGCTGTCTGCAGTATGATATAACATCTCAAAAGGAGCACTGCTGTTCTTGAAATACTCATTTAGCCATGATAGAATCTTCAAACAAGCATTCTGTGAGGCATCATTCTGCTTCTTAAACTGATCCTCTGGGGAACAAACAATGATTAAATCTTTAGACTTTGAAAATAATTTAACTTCACATTTAAATGTGCATCCTGATACTTCTGATTGTTTTGCACTTGCTGTTAATGAGGCTCCTCTGGCATGTTCAATCCCTTCAGTAGATGAGCACGCATCCTTCAAGGAAGATCCTGATGATTCAGATGATCCTTTTGAAGGACAACTTAAGGGGAAGAAGACAGGTTCAAGTAGACGGTGCTGACGACAAAACATAGAAAGCATATCTCTGGGAAGGGAACCCCTCCAATTTGCTTTTGTTGTAAATGATGAGGGCAAATCAGCTGCAAGTATTGCTTCTCTGGACAATTTATAGATCCCAATTGGCGACTTACTTATAAGCATCCTGTGATAGCAATGTAAAAATAATTAAATGTTGGAGTTCACTAATCATAATGATTCAGTGAATAAAGAATGAGATGTGTAAAATTCACATGACAAAATGAGTTAAAATACTCCTCCGTTCAGTGTTATAAAGCACTTTATTTGAAGTATCATGTTAAAAAATATAATACATTTTGGATCTTTCAAGATGTAGTTAATAAAGTTTTTCCAAAAATGCCCTTAATTAGGGGATGCAATTAACAAGGTTTTCTAATTAAGACACCCTATTAAATAAAGATCAATATAAAAAGAATGTAAAATATTAAATGCTATTAACTAACTTATTGGAGGTGTAAAATAGTTAAAGTGCCTTATAATTTTGAACGGAGAGAGTATATGTTAAGTTAAAGACAAAAGACACAAATTATTAAGGATAAACATGAAAGATATCAACTTTTATTATCAATAACTGACTGGCTTAAACTATTAAGTGAGGGCCAAGGATTGGTTTTAATTAATATATTCAACAAAGAGAATTTCAATCAAGCAAAATCACAGGGCAAGAAGTTTTGCTTGACACATAAGCCAGAAATAGCTAGACACTACTACCATCATTTTAAGCATATGCAATAAGCCATCAGCCCAACATGACATAAGCCCAAGTACCACCACATAACTTAGGAGTTGATGAGATTTTGTTTCCTCTGATAGAAAAGCCAACAAAAATCTGCTCCAGTTTTTCTGAAAACATTTGAGTTGACCATCACATTATGCCACATGTGCAGGACGTATTGACACATTCAATTTATTCTGATCTCTCAAAGTAACACTTTTAGTTGTGTTCAGAAGGTAACATAAGGTTGAGATGATATGATAAACAAGTAAAAGATGCCTCAGAAAGTTAGGATACCTGTAATATGACTGAACTGTTATGTCTTCATAGAAAAGATCTTTAGATTTCCATGTATATCCAATGGATGCAAGTATTGCATCACCAAATATACATTGTCCAGACAAGTAACTAGCCCTCACATTTAGAGATCCCTCAAAATGTAGAGTTTCCTTCACATTTAGCAAATCAGAAGATTGATCTAGAAAAAATGATCTTGATGCAGCAAAGAATAATCTTGTTTCAGAAGAAGCTTTGCCCAAATTTCTGCCATAAACAATAACAAGTTAGACAGTAACAAACTAAAACAATGATGATGAGAGG